ATCGAGGACCTGATGGTACAAGCGCGAATGATCAAGTACGACATCATTGGTCTGACCGAGACAAGAAGGCACGAATCTGGAGAAGAATTGTTCCTCGGAACATGCGATAAAAGAGGTGTTGGAGGCGTCGGTGTCCTTGTCAACACAAACTTGGCCAAGAGCATTGATTCATTCGAATGCCTAACAACCCTAATCGGACGTTTACATTTGATTAGATGTGGCTCACTGCCTGCAGTTTCTATCTTCGTTGTCTACGCACCAACATCTCATTATGATGAAAGAGAAATCGAGAAGTTCTACATGGAGCTAGAGAAGTTCTATAAAGAAGACCACACCTTCTACAAGATCATTGTGGGTGATTTTAATGCCAAGATAGGACCGAGAAGATCAGCTGAAGAACTTCACATCGGGACCCATGGCCTAGAATGGAACGAACAGCGTGAGAGACTGTCTGAGTTCATCATGTCGACCAAGACCATTCATGGTAACTCACAGTTCCAGAAGGCAGAATCTAAACGATGGACATGGGAGTCTCCCAGTGGACGATTCCACAACGAAATAGACCACATCATATTCAATCGACGGTTTTGCCTGACTGATGTCGCTGTTGTCCCAAAATTTCGAATGGGATCGGACCACCGTCTCCTTCGTGCAAAATTCTACTTCACAGAGCGGGGAGAAAGGGCTGCAAAGTTCAAAAAGAGAACTCCCAGAATGACCACCAACTGGGAACTCTTTGGTACTATTGCGGCAACATGGGAAGATGCCATTGTTGACAACATTGATGAGGAATACGATCGACTGGTTCAGCACCTCCATGAATGTGCGAGGAACGCCAAGAGAGAGATAGCCACAAAAAATCGCCTATCTTCGAAAACTCTTGAGCTAATTCGCCAGCGTGGTTTGGCACATGCCTCAGGCAACCGCAAGCTAACGTCCGAGCTCGCAAAGCAGTGCAGAGATGCGATCAAGGAAGACCTCAAAGAGAGAAGAGCAGAAGTACTGGTAGATGCGGCAGAAGCCGGGAAAAGTATTTGTAACGCCCGCCTGTCCTTCGCCAACTATAAGACCAAGATGACTGCCCTCCGACGTCCTGATGGATCCATCACATCCTCCAGAACGGCAATGGAGAAGATTATCTATGACTTCTACTCAAATCTCTTCGATAGCCATGTCCACTTGCCGACATACCAAATTCCACAGGATGTATATGTCGTTCCCAACATTCTCCCTTCCGAAATCCGACATGCCATTTCGTCGGTAAAGCATATGCTCATTTTATTTTTATTTTTTACTTTCTATCTTTTTTTAAATTAAAAAAAAATTTTTTATTAGTGAAACACCATGAGGTACAGTTATAGACTTACAAATTTTTGTGCTTGGGTTTCAGTTATGCAATGACCGAGAACCCATCCTCCACCAGCGCCCATCCTCCACCACCACGGGTCCCAGCATCCCTCCCATCCCCCATCCCCCGTCCCACCCTGCCTCTGTGGCAGGTCATTCCCTTTTGCTCTCTCTCTCTCTCCTTTTGGGTTCTGTGGTTTGTAAGAGAGGCATTGAGTGGCAATCATGTTTGGTCTATAGTCTACTTTCAGCATTCTTCTCCCATCCTGGGAGGATCCTCCCAACACCCTTTGTTTGGTGCTCCCTTCTCTATCTGTGCATATGCTCATTTTAAATAGGAAGCCTTGTATGTTTATTTGTATATTAATATATAAACACACGTGTGTGTGTGTGTGTGTGTGTGTGTGTGCGTTAAAAAGTGTTAATGTGTTAAATTACTTGCCCATTTGGTATGGTTTTTCTGTGTGTTAAATGAGGTTTAGAGAGATCAAGTAACTTGCCCAAGCCACTAGGATTTTAATGTACTTCTCTTTGGTTTTAAAATCTCTTATTTTTTTTCCACTTAAAAATTAAACGTAGGGGCTTCAGTGATAGCACAGTGGGTAGGACGTTTGCCTTGCACGCGGTCGACTTGAGTTCGATTCCCAGCATCCCATGTGGTCCCCTGTGCACCACCAGGGGTAATTCCTGAGTGCAAATTTAGCAGCAACCCCTATGCATCGCCAGGTGTGACCCAAAAACAAAACAAAACAAAAATTAAATGGCTGCCTTTTACATATTTATTAGCAATTAATTTGAAATTACTAGTTGTTCCTTTTTATAGCACCTTCGGGTGATGTTGGCAACAATGAAACGGTGTTCAAAAAGTTGTGGTTTCTGTCAGATTACTGCTTTGAAAACCCACCTAGATCTTTAACATGGAAGAACATACTGATAATTGTGACAAGATAATAAAATACTTATGAAAGCTTAAGGAACCACGTGAATAGCAATACTGGGAGTTGTGATCAGGAAAATGTTTTGAATGTCTTGGGAAGAAGGAGCTTGCTGTCCAGATCCTTCTTCCCGGCTCAGGCTCCGCTTCAGGCTGCAGCACTCGGCGAAGAGGCAGTAGAGGCGCGGGTAGAAGATGTAGCCGGTGAGGACGCCGGCCAGGGTCAGGCCCAGGCTGATGGGCTCAACTGCCCACACTGCGCTCAGCGCCAGCAGCAGCAGCAGCATAGACAACTGGAATGGGAAGGAATGAGAGTGAAGATAGATGGTCAGCAACTACACCATCTCCGCTTCACTGATGACATCGTTCTTAAAACACCAAACATCAGCCAAGCAGCACAAATGCTGGCCGACTTCGACCTTGAATGTGGGAATGTTGGACTACAGCAGAATCTAATGAAGACAATGTTTATGAGAAATGGTCTCGTTTCTGATGTTCCATTAACTCTCAACGGCTGAACATCTCCGAATGCAACAATTATGTGTCCCTAGGTCGAGAAGTCAACATGACGAATGTTACCTGGCACCTGAGTTGTGCAGGAGGAAAAGAGCGGCTTGGAACACCTTCAAGAACATCGAAGAAATAGCATAAAGAACCTCCGGCTCTGGTCACATCTCTTTGATTCCACTGTTCTTCCTGCATTAACATATGCCTCAGAGACCTGGGCTCTACGAAAGCAGGATGAGAACGCCATTCGGGTCTCTCAAAGAGGAATCGAAAGAGCTATGCTTGGAGTATCACGCTTCACTCAAATGAGAGAAAGAATCTGGAGTTACAACCTTCGTCGACGATCAAGAATCAGAGATGCTATCTCGTTCGCCAAGGCATCGAAAATGTGATGGGTTGGACACGTAATGAGATTTGGAGATGACTGCTGAACTAGAGCCATTACCGACTGGATTCCACGGGACTTCAAAAGATCTCCTGGCCGCCCATCTATGAGATGGTCAGACCCTGAACGATCGGTTTGAGGCTCTTCATGTTCCTGGAATGAGCAGATGCCATTGGGCTACATTAGCACGTGACAGGGATGGATGGAGACGTTGCTGGCGCCCGCTTGAGCAGATCGATGAGTAACAGGATATCAAGTGATCAAGTGATCAAGAGAAGAAGGAAAGGAGAAGAGGAATAGAAATAACATTCTTCTTTTATACTGAAGTGTACAACTGTCTATCCATAAGTTTACTGCTCATTAAAATTAGTTTTTCAGGTGCTTTAGAGATATAGTGCAGGTATTAGGATCTTGCTTTGCATTTGGACAATCCTGGTTTGATACCTGGAACCACATATGTTACCCCACGAACCTCCATGCGTGATCCCTGAGTACTGATGGATGTAACCCACGGTCCCCACAACCATTTGTGAAAAACTTTTTAATACATAAAATAGTAAACTTACGTATATGTGTATATATATAGAGATATATAGTTGTATTTTTATAATGTACATACATATATACATACATAAAAGGTAAGGTAAAGGCCCTCCCGTTGATCGTCGATTTGCTCGAGCGGGCCCAGTAACATCTCCATTGGAGACTTTGTTGTTACTGTGTCTGGCATATCGAATACTCTCGGTAGCTTGCCGGGCTCTCCGAGAGGGGCAGAGGAATCGAACTCGGGTCGGCCATGTTGGCCGCTTGTAAGGCGAACGCCCTACCTGCTGTGCTATCGCTCCAGCCCATATACATACATATGTATTGTAAAATGTAAGTTTTATTTGCCTTTGTATTTTCATTCAAACATCTCTCTCAAAGATTATTGTACATTAAAAAGATTATTGGGAGCTGGAGAGATACGTCAATGGGCTGAAGCCTATGCTTTGCATGCAGGAGAGCCAGGCTCAATTCCTGTTACTGTGTGGTCCTTCTAGCACCAAGTTAGGAGCACTGCCATGTGTGGTCCGGAAACAACAGAAGATATGTAAATTTGTAGTTGTTGTATATTTTTAAATTAAATTTTCTGTTTTAATTTCTAAATGGGAAACTATAGCTATAACTCATATATACAGAGGCTTTTACAGCTCTCAAATTTTAATAATATAGAGATTTTGATACCAGATAATTTAAAATGGCTCCAGTATATTATTAAACCACTAATAGTGAATACTATGTAATCTGTGTAATAGGAAAATTCCCATCATTTAGTGACGTTAGGTGGAAGAAGACATACAAACTCCATATTATAGTCATGAGATAAAAGTAAAATATAGGGCTGGCTGGAATGATAATACAGAAGTTAAGATCTTTACCTTTCATGTGGCCAATCCTGGTTTGATCTCCAGCACTATATGGTCTCACAAGCATTGCTGGGAGCAACCTCCAAGTACAGAGCGGAGAGTAGTCCTTAAGCACTTGCTGGTGTGTGCCTCTCAAATCCTGCCACTCCAAAGAGAAAACAACACTAGAGAAAATACAATAAAATGTGAATAGTCATGTTTAGATTTTATTAATTTAAATTATTCTAATTTTGGTTCTTCCAAAGGTTTTTATACTATTGCATATAGTAAAAAAAATTGTAAACATAGGATTGGGAAGCTGGGACTATGTGCATATTCAATCCTGTGTTTTATCTTTTCTATGGTCTACCTGAACACTGCTACGTGTGGCTCCTATAACAATTAGAAATATAGATGAATGGAAATAATATCTCTGTTTCAGAAACTTTGTAGTGATGCTCAAGTTAAAGTCTTTGGAAAATGCTGCCAGCTGAAACCTGGAGGTGACAGTTCTTCCTCTCTGGATAGTTCTGTGACTTCAGCTTCTGATGTAAAAGACCAATGTCCTAAGTACCAGGTAAGATCACTGACATCATTTATTTGTTTATTTCTTTACTCACAAGCATTTTTGATCACCTATCTTGTGTCATGCACCTTCTTAGAAAATGGACATATCACAGGAACTAGTCCTTACTCTCTGATGTATTTATATTGTGCTGGAGAGACAAGTAATTAAACAAGTAATTTATGGACATGATGAATCTTATTTTCTTCTGTGTGCAATTCAGAGGGGTTTTTTTTTGCTTCCAGAATAATTTATTTTATATGCTTTAAGTTATTAATATATAAAGGTAAATATAAAATAATGCATTTCAGGTATAACATGAAATCAGAGCTTAGTTGGAAATACATACAGTTAAATGGACATTTTTTATTTTTCAAAAGTAATGTAGCTTTTCTTTTAGAATACAGAATTAGTAACTACATCAGAACTTCTATATAAACTTTTTTTTTTACGTGAGATCAGTGGTTGGTTTTATAATTGGCAGATGTCATCTGATGTGAATTTATCTCATCCAAGCTAGCATGAATGACTCATAAATATTTTATATTTAGCAGAATCAAAATAGAAACCCAAGCTTTTTGATTATTTGTAATTAGGTAATTGTTTTGACAGAAATTGACCCTTATGCCATAACAATGTGACAGTTTATGCTAAAGATCGATGAAGTTATTAAGAGCCAGGTATTAGGAAGTGTTATATATTTCTACCATCTTCCTCTTTCTCTACCTAAGTAATAAATGATACTATGACAAGTTCCTCAGAGAGTAGAATATCTTCCTACTTAATTCCAATTTGGATAATTTGGAAAGTTTCTAACTTCATCAGTTGTACAAGCATAACTTCCTAATATTGCAGTGAAAAATCTTTATAATATATAGATCCAAATTGCAGGAACACTGAAATGAGTAATTGTCTCATTTTGCATCAAAATCTCTAGAGATTTTCTTAAACAGTATAGATTTCCAGGTTATATTTCAGATATTCTGATGGTATTTTTAATATGGTTCTGGAAATCTGGCTCTTTTTTCCCCTATAGCAGGTAAGTATTTAATTACTGTAGCATACAGTTCACTAGATGAAATGTAATTCAGTAGATAAAACATGTATTTGATTTTCAGAGATTATTTCAGATAACTAACTTTCAGTGAAAAACACTTGCAACACATTGATCTTTTTATAAAAAATGGTTTTTAAAATGTTTGAAAGAGGGATTGGAGTGATAGTACATTGGGATGGGCCTTTGCCTTCTTGTCCATTGATCACCTGGATTAAATCCCCAGCACTCTATATGGTTCTGTATACCCACCAGGAGTAACTCCTGAGCACAGATCCAAGAGTAACCCTTGAGCACCACTGGGTGTGGCCCTCAAACCAAAGGAAAACAAGTGATTTTTTTAAAAATTTATTTTTAAATGTAGGAGTACTGTTGTTTATTCAACCACTGATTAAACTGATTGACGCGGGCATGATCTTTTTAAAAAATGTCTTTAATTGAATATCCGCGAGATAGACTATTACAAAGCTGTTCATAATTGGGTTTCAGTCATGCAATGACACACACCCATCCCTTCACCAGTCTACATTTCCCAACGCTAATGTCCCCTGTTTCCCTCCCACCATCCCCCAACACCCCACTCCCACCCACAACCTCCCTCTATGTGAGCTACTTTCCTTCTTGCTCTCTCCCTCCTTTTCCTTTTGTGCATTATGGTTTGCAATACAGATACTAAGAGGTCATGGTGTTTGTTCATGGCATTCAGTACTTTTATCGGGATGGTAAGGCTGGAGTAGCTTTTCAACTGGGTGGCAGCTTTGGGGTGTGGATGTGACTGCTGAGACTTCCAAAAGGGCAGTGAAGTAGAGGGGAGGTAGCCCATCCTAACTCTGAGAAAGCCTGGAGGTTTCAGTCACAAAAGCTGCATACCCGAATTTTCAGCAGATTATATCTTGGTGAAGTCCATCCCTAGGTGGTGGAGTCAGGCCTGGGGGATATAGCAGAGATTTTGGATTGTAGAAGCAAGTGGCTGCCAGGGCCTCTGCTTGACTGGGCACCAAACAAACCTGCCTCCCTCTGATTTACCCCTGTCTGTATAGCCATGCATGGGTCCAAGATTAACTGTGGCTTTTGATTTCTTTCCTTTCAAGATTTATTTATGTGTCTCTGAAGCAAGGCTGGTACTAGAGCTTATCTGGTGGCACTTGAGTTGACTCATGGGGGTGATTGCCAGTGCTTCCAGGAATATTGCAAAGAGAGGGGAGGTAGCCCATCCCACCTCTGAGAACACCTGAAGATTTCAGTCACAAAACCCTCATACCTGAATTTTCAGCAGATTATATCTTGTTAAGGTCTATCCTGAGACGGTGGAGTCAAGCTGAGGGTATGGCAGTGATTTTGGAAGCAAGCAACTGCTAGGAGTTTTACTTGGGCAGGTTCCAGGCTGACCCACCCCCTCTGATTTTCCCCTGTCTACTCAGCCATGTGCGGGTCCCAGATTAATTGTGGCTTTTGATCTCTTTTGAGATTTATTTATGGGTTTGTGAAATAAGACTGATAAATGAGCTTGGATAGCTGAGCAGGAGGTGGTTTGTGGGTGCAGTTCCCACATACCTAACTTTTTTTTTTTTATGTAGCAGTACTGCTGTTTATTCAGCCACTGATTAGCTTATTGATTTGGGCATGAACTCCACCTTGCCTTTTTTTTTCCCCATAGTTTTATTTATTTATTTTTCTTCTTATATTTATTTATTGAATCACTGTGGGAAAAGTTACTAAACTTTCAGGTTTAAGTCTCGGTCATATCATGATCAAACACCTCTCCCTTCACTGGTACTCATTTTCCACCACCAAGAACCCCAATATACCCCCTCTCTCACCCCTCCCAATGCCTGTGAGGCAGATAATTTCCACTTAACTCTTCTCTACATTGATTACATTCATTATTTCGACAAAAGATGCACCATTATTGTTTATAATTTCCCCCCCAACAATCAGAATTGCTGAAAAGGCATTGTGAAATACTTTGTTTTCTATAGCTGGGTATGAGAATCATATAATGATTTTGGGTTTCTGCAAAGAGCCAGATAATTACGAGATTGGTTTCTCTATGTCTGGTGTTATGGCTGTACTGAAGAGCTGCTCATGTGGGGGAACTTGTGACCTCGGTAGGGCGTGAAGGACAAGCCGGTACTGCCCCCCTTCCCATGAGACTGAAGTTGCACCATCACCGCTGGCTTATACCGCTCTGAGGTGGCGGCCACCTTGCTGCCTGGGGGGAGGGGAGGGAAAGGCAGAAGGGAGCAACACCCTTTCCTGCCCCCGGAGGCATGGCGCCGTAGTTGAACTCATGGTCCATTCACTTTTCTGCCACAAGCTGCCAGGCTCAGGACTAAGTCCTTTTGCCTCTGGAGCCATGGCTATGCCGGAGAGCTGCTTGTGGGGGGCAAATCATGACCTTGGTAGGGCATGAAGGACAAGCTGGTACCGCCCCCTTTCCCATGAGACTACAATTGCCCCGTCAGTACTGGCTCATACCTAGCTTTCCTATAAGCTCTGAGGCAGTGGCTACCTTGCTGCCGGGGTAGCAGGTGGGGGAGGCGGAAGGGAACAACACCCTCTTTCTCCCGGGGAGGCATGGTGCTGTAGTTTAATGCATGGTCCATACACTTTTCCGCTGCAAGCTGCCGGGCTCTGGACTAAGTCCTTTTACCTCTGGAGCCATGGCTGTACTGAGTTTCTGAGTCATTTTGCATAACATGATACTTTCCAAGTAGTACCACTTGTATGTAAATTTCATGACTTCCTCTTTTCTAACAGCTACATAGTACTCCATTGTGTAAATGTATCAAAGTTTCTTTAACCAGTCATCTGTTCTAAGGCACTCAGGTTTTTTCCAGATTCTGGCTATTGTAAAGAGTGCTGCAATGAACCAACAATTGCAGATGTCACTTGGACTATACATTTTTTGCCTCTCTGAGATATATTCCCAGGAGTGGTATTGCTGGGTCAAATGGGAGCTCAATTTCTAATTTTTTGAGAATCGTCCATACTGTAGCACTATTCTTTCATTGTTCATTTATTTGCTGGAGTGGGTACCAGTAATGTCTCCATTGTGAGATTTCTTGTTACTGTTTTTGGCATATCGAATATGCCACTGGGGGCTTTCCAGGCTTTGCTGTGCGGGCAGGACATTCTTAGTAGCTTGCCGGCCTATCCGAGAGGGACGGAGGAATCGAATCTGGAAATAAAAGTAAATAAATGAAATGAATAATGTCTCCTGCCCCCGTGCCTGGCTGTCCTTGCCAGGGCCCCTTGGAGGGGAGCGGGTTGAGTTTACCTCCCTGCCCCGACCAGGGCTCCGGCAGCCGAAGACCTCCAGAACCAGCCACCACCATGCAGAGACCACCCTCCACACGCATGAAGGTACCGGCAGAGGAACAAAGGCATGCGGGTCCTGGGGCTGAGATCTCCAAGCCTGCTTGGATCGGGGCTGAGCATCCTCCACCCAGATTCTCCAAATTCCAGTAGGCAGTGGTCACACCCACCAACTGGCCCCATGGCACCGTGTAATCCCATCAATGGCCAAGACCCAGAGACTATAAAACCCAACTCCTGGAAGTGCGTGGCCGCATTTGCAACATCTTATTATCTCATTCTTACTTTGGACAAAATGGCAGGCTACCGAATGTAACCTGCCCACATGGCAGAGTCTGGCAAACTCCCCGTGGTGTACCAAATATGCCAAATACCAGTAACAATGATGGGTCTCATTCTCCTAAACCTGGAAGAGCTTTTAATATGGCACTTTTTAGAAAATCTCAGGGCTAGGATGAAGGAGACATTACTGGGGCCTGCTCAAGGCAATCGACGAACAACAGGATGGTTGTGATTGTGATCGTGAATTTTGTGTCTGGGTAGGAAGCTCATAGGATTACACTGCATAATTCGGATATACAAGCTTCTCTCACCCAAACTGTGTAGTTCTAGCGCTTAGCACTGTTGGCCCACATGACACCATATTTTTGGTTTTGAGCACTGAACAATCAGAATCAGGCCTGCACTAAGTTCAGCACTACCTCTGTAGTTAAACAGCCCACCCCAGCCCCCACAACCATTAGCTTTAAGTCTTTATTAAAGCAAAATTAAGGCAGCAATGCAATGTCCAAGTAGTAGCCCATATTGATCAGTACACAGTAGCCCACATTGATCAGTACACAGTTGGCCAAGAATCACCAGAAGTGGCCCCTGGACCCTTTGAGCATCACTTGAGAGAAACCCCCCCCCCCCCCCCACACACACACACCGTACAAAACCCAAACACATTAAAAATTTTAAGTTATGTTCATTATTCTGTAACTGCCCTTATATGTTATCTACCAAATATTCATTGTCTACTTCTGCTTTCTTTTTTTTGAAGTCTAATTTCTTTAAGGGATGCTATATGCCAAAGGGAGGATATGCACTTCAGAGTCTTCCTTGAAGATAGATATTTAAAGTGAGTTTCTACATTCAGAGGCTGAAACTGATGATTAGAATATGATGATTAGAATAGCAATTTTGAGAACTATCCATCAAATGCATTCAACAGAAGATTGGTCAATAAAATATAAATTGAAGTCAATGAAGATGATATATTAGGACTACAATGGAGCAAGTATGTATTAACTTGCCTAAAGAGAAATAAAAGATGTCTCTGAAGCTATCTAGAAGCATATATATGCCTTACTTACAGACTTCTTGTCCGTGTGAGGAAAATACCTAAGACACTGTTCAGAGGGTAACCCAATTCACAAATCATACAGTAGAATAATATGATAGTTCACAATAAAGATGACCTAAATGACTACTAACATGGTAATAAGGGTTTCTCATAAATTTCATTAAACCATACCATAATGAAAATAAAAATTGGAGAAGTTTCTTAGACCAAGTGAAAATCACAGTGATGACCAAAGGGAATGAGGAGTGAGGAGTGGGGAGGAATGAGGACAAGGCTCTTTGGGTTGTGGAATGGCACTCAAACTTCAGTAGTCATCAGATCTTATAAAACAGTGCAGTGAAAAAAAGTAGGCCCAGGATTGTATACCTAATGAAAGCACTTTAAGAAATGCAATATATAGGATAACTACAGCAAAGTAACTTTAATGTGAATCAGTTTTCAAAATAATCATAAGGGACTTTTTCCAGGCTTGTTCTCTCTTGAACATGTATTTGTCTCAGAATCTTTTTTAGCTTTTTCAACTCTGGAGAAGCTGTATTCTCTCTTGAGTATGTAAAGCAAAACAAAATGAAATGGTCATTTTGTTTAAATTATACTTTAAATTATATAATTTTGCTAATGTTACCGTCTTTTTAGGGTTCACGGTGCTCCTCTGATGCCAGTATGCTTGGAGAGATGATGTTTGGCTCTGTAGCAATGAGCTATAAAGGTTCCACCTTAAAAATTCATCAGATCCGGTGAGTGATTTTCTGAGTTTTCTTAATTCTTTTTTGAAAACTTAAAAATTTTTTAAAGAGAATTTCATACTTTATGGCAAATGCTTGATTTATGATTATATAACTATCTGTGACAAACATTTTATATATAATAAAAAGGTAATTGTGTTTTAATTTCACGATTTCTCTGTCTCTCCATAGTTCTCCTCCACAACTTATGCTCAGCAAAGTTTTTACTGCACGAACAGGCAGCAGTATCTGCGGAAGTCTCAATACGTAAGTGGCTATGGATACAGAGAAAGTTAATTACCGTAGATGATGAAGTAGGAAAAAATATTGATTTCAGGATTGAAATATAAATTCAGATTTCTTTCACTTCTTATATTTGAAAGTTTGTGACCACCAATTTCTACCCTCCGGTTTTTTTTTCTTTTGAGGTATACAATTTAGTGCTAAGTCAGTTGTACAGGGCTTTTCCATCATTGTGGTCCTGGGAGCTGACTGGGCTGCACCCTGTGATTCTCAGGAGGCTGAATCAGCCAGGGGATCAAAACAGAGTCAGGTGTACTCATTTTCTGGTCCTTTGATCTCTTTCTAGAAGTTATGAAAAAAAACCCCAAATATCGATTTTAATTTCCCAAATGTTGTTGAGTACCTTTTCATTTGGCCTTTGGTCATTTATGTTTTCTTCAGAGAAATGTCTATTCAGTTCTGGATATTCAGAGAACCTTTCATTTTTCTTTTTCCCAGTTGGGTGGTTGTTTTCTTTTTTACTAATTTGTATGAGCCTAAACCCCTTTTCAGACAGAAATGATTTGCAAATATTTGCTCCCATCTGGTAGGCTCATTTTGCTGATGGTTTCTTTTGCAGTGAATCAGCTTTTAAGATTGATATAATTTGGGCTGGAAAGATAATATATAGGTTAAGGCACTTGCCTTGCATCCAGGTCACCCTGGTTGATCCTCAGCACTACATACTTGTCATCTGAGCACTTAATAGGAATGATCCCTGATCACAGAACCAGAAATAAGCTCTGAACATTGCTGGGTGTGATCCAAAAACAAATAAAAATGAATGATACAGTCCCTTTTGTTTATTTTTGTTCTTTGTACCATTGTATTATCTAGGAAATTAGCTCCAAGACTGAAGTCAAGAGACTTTTCTCCCTATTATTTCTTCTAGGATTTTTTGTGATTTCAGTCTTATGTTTATAATTCTTGAATGCATTTTAAGTTCAGTTTTTTTTTTGAGTCTTTGTAAGATTGAGGTCCAGATTTATTCTGCATTTTTTGTAGATTTTTAAGCACCATTTATTGAAGAGACTATTATTTACCCATTGATTATTCTTGACTTTCTTATCAAATATTAGTTAACTGTATATGTGGCAACTTACTTTGGAGCTTTTATATTCCCCCTACAGATTTATTTATGTTTTTATGGTAGTTCAATACTGTTAAAATTATGAAAACTTGGTGATATAACTTGAAATCGGGAAGTGGGACGCTTCTAGCTTTTTTTTTTCTTTTTCATGACTGGTAGGACATTTTCAATTGGTTAGTGCCGTGATTATTGCACTATATATTGAATTGAAATAATGGCAAGTCTGATACCAGTATGGTGGATGAATTTCATGCCTTAAACGCTGTGTTAGTAAATCACAAAAATGGATTTTGTAGGTGAACATATTAAATTTTTGGTTAGCCAAAGTTGCAGGAGGGGCCTGAGAGATAGTACAAGAATTAAGGTGCTTGCTGTTCACTTGGCCAATCCTGGTTTGATCCTGGCACCATGTATACAAACTCCGCCAGGAGTAATCCCTGAACATAGAGTCAAGAGTCAAGAGTAAGCCCTGAGCTCCACTGATAGTGGCCAAACAACCAATCTCCAACAGTAACAGGAGGTAGCAATCTTCCTACTTGAAACTAGAGAAATTCTTAAGTGCCCCTTTCAGTTATAAAATCCTCTAAAAAGTCTTCGGAGGCTTTTCATTAGCTGAGTTTCTAAAAACTGTAACTCTGTTAAAGGAAAGAGAGTAAAAGAATTCCCCAAAGATAGCATGAATACTTTTTAAAAAAAAGTAAATGTCTGGAGCGCCTGCTTTTCCTGTGGGAGCCTTGGCTCAGTCCCTGGCTCCTTATTTGATATGGTACCCCAGACACCATCCTGAGGTGAGCGAAAACAAGAAGAGAACGACAACCGAAGTGGAAAAAAATGGATGCTGAAAGTATTTATATATAAGCAAGAGGGCTTATGGGGTTGGAGAGGTAGTACAGTGGTAGGGCACTTGCCTTTCATGCAGCCAACCTGTGTTCAATCCTGGCATCCCATATGGTCCCTTCTGAACACACCAAGAGCACCAAGAGAGATTTCTGAGCACATAGCCAGGAGTAATTCCTGAGCAGCGCCAGGTGTGACCCAAAACAAAACAAAAAAAACCCCAAGATAAATGAGGATTTAATATTAATATAGAAATTAGAAATTCTACACTGTATTTACTCATTTGACTATAATCCTCTGAATTTCTTATTCTTTTTAAAATTCTGGTCATAAAATCTCAAAGTTTATACTAACAACATAATGTTATTCTTATTGTTCTGAATCATGAAAATATAAGTAAGTTAAAATTATATTCTTAAAGAAAATTTTTTTAATTAACTTTTTTGATTGTGGTGCCAGAGATTGAACTTGGGTGGATCTCCTTATTATCCCTCTGGCCTGGGAACTTTGTATTTTAAATCAGGTTTAGTAAACTTTTTCTGTAAAAATATGATAGTATTCTCAGTTTCAGGGATAAGGAATTATGGTGCGTTTTTTTCAGCTCTTGCTTATAGCATGAAAGCAGATATATACAATTCATAAGTGAGTGGATATGTCTTTTCTGATAAAGTTCTATTTACAGAAACAGGCCGCAGGCTAGATTTAACTTTCAGTTTACAAACTCATAGTTTAAATGGTTAACTTAGTCTGAATTAGAAAAACTATAAAAATCTGGAATTTCAGTGGAATATGTGAACAGTTACTATTTAGAATGTAAAATGAACTCAGAATATTTTTCTTTTCCCTCTTAGGCTTCAGGACAGTCTTGAATTTATCAATCAGGATAACAATACATTAAAGGCTGATAATAACACAGTTATTAATGGACTACTTGGAAATATAGGTAAAGGTTCTTTTGGTTTTATAGGTTTAAAATGGATTTTCATTTTTTTAAAATAATGTAGATCTAAGACCAAAGAACTTTCATAATAAAAGTTCAAATGTAGTTTAAATTTGTATAGTATTTGTTTTTGAAAAACATGTTTAAAATATGAATAACACTTATTTTGTCTTCTATCCAAGTACTAACCTTACCTACTTAGCTCTGAGATCAGGCACGCTTAGGCTTGTATGGCTATGGACATAACACTTATTTTATGTTTGAGAAAAAACTGCTAAAGATATATCCATTTTTTACAAAATTTTAGTACATCATAGATACCATCATTGGTATAAAAAGATTGACTTTGTCTCTAGAACATTTCAGTTGGTATTACACTTTCTCCTTTCTTTCCTGTCATAATAATAGTTTTAAAAAATGCTTATTTGGGGGTTAGGGTGCTGGGGTGGTGGTGGGCAGGCTCATTTTTGTAACTTCCAATTCAAATGAGCTGATTTGGAGCTTTAAAGAGTTTAATGTTTAATAATATTTATAGAATAGGAGCCTATGTAGTACTATTGTCATTGCTGCTCCTAAAAGGCAACATTTTGAAGTGACATACCCTCAAATTTCTGGTCATTTTTTATATCCTACAATGCTCAACTAAATAGTTGTGGACCATATATCCAGTGCTCAAAAATAATTTGTTATCTCAAGAGAGTAAATAGTAATTAGAATAGGATGAATAAGTCATTTCTGTTAAGTGTGAATTTTTATTTGTAATTTTAATAAGTATATGTAAGTTACTTCTATTGTAGATGTTTTCTGGTCTTGAGAGGCGTAATATCCTTTTTAAAAAAATCATGTGGAGTAAAATGAGTGACTATTAAGTTTCTTTTGTGGGCTACTTACAGTGTTGTTAGGCATTATATTTTAGTAGTATGTATTTTGTTTTGTATTTTGGGGGGCAACGGGGAAATGGGCCACTCCTGGTGGTATTTAGGGGTTGCTTTTGGCCCTGCTCATTGAACCATGTAGTATAGGAGATTGAACTGGGTCAGCCTTATGCAAGGCAAGTGCCTTAATGCCTGTACTATCCCTCCAACTCAGAAAGTGTATTTTGTAGAAAAATTAAAGTTTTTGCTTTTTCTTAATTAACTTGATGATTTATTGATTTTAATAAAGTCAAAGACTGATAAGGAAGTAAATTTAAAAAATGACAGTTTTTTGAGTTCAAGGGTCTCATGAAAAGCCTCATTTATAAAGTAAATTATAACCTTAGAAGCTGGTTATGTTTTTGTTGTTTAAATATAGGATAAGAGGTTGATTCATTTTAAAAAGTCTTTAATGAGGGGCTGGAGTGATAGTGCAGTGGGTAGGGCGTTTGCCTTACACGCGGCCCATCCGGGTTGGATTCCCAGCTTCTCATATGGTTCCCCGAGCACCACCAGGAGTAATTCCTGAGTGCAAAGCCAGGAGTAACTCCTGAGCATCGCTGGGTGTGACTCAAAAAGGGGGAAAAAGAAAAAAACTTGAATGATTAGCTGTGACTTATACTTTAGATGTCTTTTATTTCCTTTATGTTTTCAGTTAACCAACTTGTGAAGCACCTATTATATGTCAGTCATTCTGTTATATCTTGATGGTACACACAGTTCTTGCTATAACAGATTTAGCACTGTAGCATTGTCCTCTCATTGTTCAATTTGCGCAAGCGGGCACCAGTAACGTCTCCTTTGTGAGACTTGTTGTTACTGTTTTTGGCATATCGAATATGCCACGGGGAGCTTGCCAAGCTCTGCCGTGTGGGTATGATACTCTCGGTAGCTTGCCGGGCTCTCCAAGAGGGATGGAGGAATCGAACCCGGGTCGTCCTTCCTACCTGCTGTTCTATCACTCCAACCTATAACAGATTTATATTATATAAATCATACAATACCACGTTGTTAACTTTTGAATTGAAGTAAGAGGAGGGTATGACAGAAATGAGGAAGGGCTCCTTTTTTCATTCCTGGAGAGTCAGGGAAGATTTGGGAAGCGAGTTTTAAGTCTGATGGCTGAAAAAAGAACTATTCTAGGAAAAGTTATGGAAAGAGATCATAGAATATGGAAAAGCAGTGAACGAGTCAGTGTGGACAGAGCACAGAATAGGAGTTAAGGAAACGAAAAGGACCTAGAGGAACAGATCATGAAGGGGATCTGTATGGAGCAGCGAGGAACCTTGAACATTAGTTTGTTTCCTCTACCTGTTGGGTTATTTATTTATTAATTAAAAAAAACAGGATTACACAGGCAAGGATTAGGGAATTGTTTGTGTGAGAGATAATGAGGATAGAACTGGGAAAGACCAAGAGAGCTCTCAGATTGTGGTTAGAAAATCTCACTGTACAGTACACAGAAGGTTTGGCCAGTATATTTACAAGTGTTTGAATCAGAGTTTACTATTAGAAGTGACCAGTGTCTTTCCAAAATGGTCTGATTTACTAATACCTGTTTCATTCAGTAATGAAATTGACTGAGAGTATTTCTCACGGTGTACAACTTGACTGAATTTCAGAACACTGTAGTTGGTTGATTATTTAGTTTCTCAACCAACTAGTACCGGGTACTAGCTTAGCTGGAGGCCTTTTTTAGAGCATTCTCAAGATACCTAAGAGAACTTTTCAGACTATAGAAACATCATATTTGTAAGTACAAAAGAATATTCTAATTGTGGATTTATGTCAACAAGTTGGATTGAAGAGACTTTGCCATTAGAAGGCTGTGATGACAGTTGTTGAGACGCTCATTAAAATAGAGTGGAGTGGATTTAGTGATTTGAAACATGAGTTGAAGTAAGAGATAATATTTGTCTGTATGGTTATAATTACATGGATATGAAGAGGAGCAGAAGAAATTGGAATTAATGATTTTAGGTGTAGGCATATTGGAATTGGAAATATTGCTGAATTGCTTTAATAATGATACTCATTACATTTAGTATGTGAGTCTCTGGGTTCCATCCCCTATCATCAGCAAAAAATAATAATAATAAAAAAAGTGGTGCAAAGAGATAGGTCAAAAGTTGGTGGGAGGCTGAGGTTTGATCCCTGACACATCTTGATTTCCTGGGTGCTACCAGAAGTGAACCCCCAGTACTGCCAGCTATGACTCGGCCCTCCTTCCTATCCCCACAGGGAAGGAGTCAGAGAGATGGCTCAGGAGTCAGAAGCATACATTTTTTTTTTTTTTTTGCCTTTTTGGCTTTTTGGATCACACCTGGCAATGCACAGAGGTAACTCCTGGCTTTGCACTTAGGAATTACTCCTGGTGGTGCTCAGGGGACCATATGGGATGCTGGGAATCGAACCTGGGTCGGCTGTGTAAGGCAAACGCCCTACTCGCTGTACTATGGCTCCAGCTCCAGAAGCATACATCTTGAATGCATAGTTATCTACAATGCTGCATGGCTATCCCCAAGTACCACTGAAGGCCTGGAGGCCCCTGAGCACTACTGACTTTGTCCTGGTGGCCCCTAACAACTATGCGTCCGAGACAAGTTGATTGTCACTGGGAGTGCTCACCATCCCCCAAAGAGAGGGAGAGGAGAAAGGGGTTGACTTAAATAAGCCCTTAGTACTCTGCACACAGAGTTGAGGATACCATGGTGTATAGTGAGTGGCTACAAGATTAACTGGTGTGGTGCATTCTACCCCTAAAACATAAACATTTATAGTCTCCATAAAAAAAATGAAAAAAAAAAGATTTTTTTTCAGTTGTGCTATATGAATAGCTGTGATATAATGTGATATAAATAGGTGTGATTACCAATAATTCCCCAGACCTCTACAATTATAGATTTTTTTTAATCTCTTATTTTGATTTTGGACTGCGCTCAGCTGTGCTCAGGAGTTACTCCTAGCTCTGTGCTTAGGTATCACTCCTGGCAGGCTCTTGAGACTATGTAGAATGCCTGGGATTGAACCTGGGTCAGCTGCGTGCAAGGCAAGTGCCCTGCCTACTGTACTATTTCTCTGATCCTGATCCCCTTTCTTCTTTGGGTTCCATTTTCTTCAACATTACTGCTCAACTGTATGAAACTCGTGGAAAGGAATTGAGTATACTTTGTATGTGACTGACTCTGTTTAGAACCCCAGTACTACAGGCTGCCTGAGTATTGGAAGGGGCAGCTTTGGAGATCCTTGAGCACTGCTAGGGTGGCCCAAGTAATGCGTGACACCACAGGACTTGAGCATCATTGCATTCTCTGACCCTTGAATTGAACCACTACACTAGTTGACTGAGAATTTCTGAAAGGGGTCCTGTACCTCCTAAAAGTCTCTTGGGAGACCCTCCCAACCTCCAAACTAGAGTATTATTGGAGTTTAGAGAAAAATTTTGTAAGTGTAACACTGTAGCACTGTCCTCTCGTTCATTGATTTGCTCAAGTGGGCCCAGTAACGTCCAGTAAAGTCTCCATTGTGAGACTTGTTGTTACTGTGTTTGGCATATCGAATACATCATGGGTAGCTTGCCAGGCTTTGCCGTGCAGGCGAGATACTCTCGGTAGCTTGCTGGGCTTTCCAAGAGGGGCGGAGGAATCGAACCCAGCTTGGCATTGGCGTCGTGCAAGCCAAACGCCCTACTGCTGTGTTATCGCTCCCATCTTTGTAAGTGTAATATAATTAAAAATACAGTAAGATGAAAGTAATATGAACTCTGCGGGGTGGAGCGATAGCATAGCGGGTAGGGCATTTGCCTGGCTTGCGGCCAATGCCGAGCCAGGTTCGATTCTTCCTCCCCTCTTGGAGAGCCCGGCAAGCTACCAAGAGTATCTCGCCCACACGGCAAAGCCTGGCAAGCTACCCATGACGTATTCGATTTGCCAAACACAGTAACATGTCTCACAATGTTACTGGGCCCGCTCAAGCAAATTGATGAACAACGGGAGGACAGTGATGAACTCTGCAGTAAGCAAGAGGAAGGTTTTTGGTAACTTGTCTTGAGCCTTTTCAGTGAGGAGAATTGAAATCAGAGTCAAGAGATTAATTTTCTTTCCAAGATAAGAGCCATAGTGAGTTTACATTGGTCTTAGGATTCTTTTGTACATTTAGAATAATAAAGAAATTTTGTATATGTGAATTATATTTGATATACACAATTAAAATTTGATATCACTAATTAAAATTTAAACTTAGATGTAAATATTATGTAGTGGCCCTCCTGTTGATCATCGATTTGCTCGAGCGGGCCCAGTAATGTCTCCATTGGAGACTTTGTTGTTACTGTGTCTGGCATATCGAATACTCTTGGTAGCTTGCCGGGCTCTCCGAGAGAGGCAGAGGAATCGAACTTGGGTCGGCCATGTTGGCTGCATGCAAGGCAGACGCCCTACCCGCTGTGCTATCGCTCCTAATTTATTAAAAATTAACACTAGGCTAGGGAGGTAGTTTAGCAGTAAAAAGCATGCCTTCCATACCAGAAGATCAGTATGTACAGTAAAACATAGCACTAATAATATCCTTTAATGTTGCCATAAGTAATATGTCTTACAATAACTGTTTTTCAAGGTAAAAGCATCTAGTGAGAAGAGCATCATTGCTTTACAATTTGCAGTTTACCTGTATGTCAGGCTTAGTAGACAATGACAGGTTTCTCTTTTTTGTTTGTGCATATAGTCTCTTGTGTATATTGTTTTGGATATAGATATTAAAATTCAGCCTCACACAGATATGAAGTTGGCAAGGGTAAGTTCTCACAGGCTAAGTCCCTGAAAAGGTCATAGTGATCTCCTGCAGTGGTCTTCAGACTACATTTTAAGAATCACTGGGTTCATAGGATTGCATAAGTGAAGAAAAAGAAGAGTTTTGACTTAAATTATGATGGGGAAAAAGATTGTAAGAAAGATTAAGCAGTTACATTATACTCCTAAGATATTAGTAATTAACACTGTTACAAATCATGATACCTCAATTTGAAAAAACGTAATGCTACCAATACTTTATTTTTAAAGGATGAAGTTAGTGGTTGAATTGGTAGAGTTGGTTTTTAAAGATTGTAGCTGACTTACATAAAAATTTTATAAATTGAGGAAAGGAGGACATAAGAATTTACTGAGTGGGTTTCTGGCATAAGGTGAATTTGTGAATAATGTTCCCTATTGTTACTACTGAGACAAGAAGGAGGCAAGGGTGGGTGAAAGTTTGATTAAGTTTGAGGTAGGAAAACGAAGGTTTTTGTATAGTGTGTGTATGTATGTATGTGTATGTGTTTGTGTGTGTGTGTGCGCCTGTATTTATCTGCTTATACAGATTCATGGTGAGAATAAGAAAGAGGTGGGTAAGGAAGAAATTTAAGGATAGTAGATAAAATTTTGAAATAAATGTGAAAATCAAAAAAGGAGCTTAACAGTGAAACATGAAAGTCTATTGCACGTGCACCTTAATTACAGAAATTCTTAAAATAGCAAAAGCTCTGTTAACAAGTTGAAAATATAATTTGTATCTTTTGTTACTTTTCAAATTAGAAATCCTCTATTCTATCGTGGTTTACACCACTTACTAGCTATTTAGATTATCTTGAAAAAATGTGGCCAAAAGGTAACCCAGCTTGCTTACTTCCAAGCTCTAACATTGCCTCTTTTTTAATTTTTTTTTAAATTTCCTGACTATGGTATCTACTCTTAAATGAGCATGTAGCAACCTCTCCTCTTGGTCAGTCTTGGGAGTCTGGTCCTGATGGGCTGCATTGCTATTCCTGTTTCCCTAGTGGCTGAACCTTGGTCTAGAAACTTTGCGTTCTTCTGTTTGTAACTCATCACAAGGCTGGAAAACCTCTTTTTGTATTTATTGTCCAAACTATCCTTTTCTATATTTGCTCTGTTTTATGTTGTATTCTGTTTTCTCAGCCAAGTGTTTGGGTAATATTTGCCATAGTATGCAGATGCAACATAATCTTAAAAGCAAAATTTTGATAGATGAAACAATTGGCAAATGTCAGATTATGTAAATGTCAGTGTACTTTCCTTGATCTTTAAAAGCATTGTATTATATTCAAAAATGTTCAATATTTAAAGTGATTTTTACCTTGTATAGGGGAAGTTTTTACTACTATATATAGATTTGTTGGTACATCAGCATGAAATTGTATGTTTGAGATAAATCATGACCAGAAGGAAATAATTTTGTTTTAAAAAAGGGAAACCAATTTGAATTATTCTTATTTGACTTAAAAGTTTCCATATCTGTTGGTCTGCTTTTGTGCTGCCTAGCTCACCTTTTATTCCTGATGCATTGTGGCTTCTCTAACAGCCTTCTTTCATGTGTATTTTACGTTTTTGCCATGTAGGTCTTTCACAGTTCTGCAGCCCCAGGCGGGCATTCTCTGAACAGGGTCCGCTCCGTCTGATCAGGAGCGCCTCTTTCTTTGCAGGTTTGCGATGTGCTGTGTGGGTAGACTAGTTGGTGTGCCACAGTGGCTAGAATCTGTAGTTAAGTTGTGGAAACAAGAGAGTAAATAAGTGCAGTTGGGGTAGGTATGGTTAAAAAAAATTACTAAGAAAGTATAAGAAAGAACTTGATTACTTTCTATTGAGTAAATACTGGTAAGGTTTCCAGAAGTGCAATATATTGATATTTTCATGAAATTTTTATTCATTTTTATTCCATTATGGAGTTTGGAGTTTAACTTTAGAATTCTAAGTTAAATTTTAGTTTGAACATTATTTCCTATTACACCAATTGAAAATTCTCATGTGACACTCTCTTGTTTCCATGGCTAAGTAGCTTTGTATGATAGTTCACCAATTATAGAAAATATCCTGTCTAATTATCGTAAAATTTTTGATCTACACTGTTCCATAAAGATGATTTCTCTTAGAGCTAAGATTTAGATGAACAAGCACCATCATAGTGCTCATTAAAGACATACAATATTGTTTGTGTTTTAAATTGATGCTTATAGAATGTGTTCATACTTCAGTATCCAGGAATTTGTCTATAGGTTCTTGTTTTAATTAATATACATTTTTCTTAAAATATGAGATAAAAACAGTACATAGTGTAGAAAATTTGGAAAATATAAAAGTGGATGAAAATATATTAACCACCTTGCCAGCCAGAAATACCTCCTTTTTAAAAAACAAAAAAAGGGATAGTAATTATTTTTCTACAGCTGTTATTAAGAATTTTAACATATAAGTAGAATAGAATCATAATCTACTTATAAGAGCCCCAGCTACTATCATTTTTATTGTTTAATATCTTTTTATGTAATGTATTGTGAGTTTTCCTACATCATTTACTATACACCTACAACTTTTATCACCTCTTATTTCCTTAGATTTTATATCACAGATTATATTCTTATTATATGTCAAATCTTCAGATTGATGTCAAAGCTTGTTCAACTGAGTAATAGCTCTTGGTGTTGGGTTTGTGCCATGCTGTTGAAAATTAAAGGAATGGAAAAAATGAGCATGATTTAGTTTGCGATTTCAAAGAAGCAATATCAACCAAGAAGTGGTATCTTTTACAACTAACAGTTCTGTCTTAATTCACAGTTCATAGCAACCCAATGGACATGCCTGGAAGAGAGCTGAATGAAGACAGAGACAGTGGCATAGCACGTTCTGGTAATGCCAAGTTCATGTATTGTTTTTTTAAATGACATCATGTTAGCAGGCATTAATTTTCTTTTATATCGTTGCTTTACCATTCAATTTTTTGTATATAGTTTGCTAATATTGGTATTAATTTTACAAAAGTTTGTAGAAGTAGCAAATACTTAAAATTTCTTATGTTTACTATTTACTGTTCTGGAAAAGCATGGCCTGGATGAATGCACATTGGATTAGACTTAGTACAAGAATTAAAATATTACTCAAAAGAATGCCTAAATACATAGTAAAAAACATTAATTGCTTACTTTCGTACTTCTAACATGAGTTTTAAATAGTCACATTCTAAGAAAAACTTATTTTAAGGAATCTTTAATTTCTAATTTCATCTTTAACTCACTTCAGTCATTTTTAGTGATATCCTTAATACGTTTTGCTAGTGTGTACCACTAGAGAATTGCACTTGAATGTGGTTTAATTAATACAAATTACCCCACTTTGTCAGCATGGATTCATATTTTCAAATATAGCCGGTTTGGATCATACCCATTGTTTGGGAGCTACTCTGGGCTCAAGACTCTGGAGTGTACTCTGAGCAGTGCAGGAGATCAGATCAGATCCCAAGCCAGTTCTCTGGTCCCTTAAACTATGTATCTTCCTGACTGATACCTTTTTTCCTTAAAATTCAACTGCCATATTATAGTTGTATCACATCATGTTTTCTTTAATGTAAAATCTAAGGGTTCAGCTAAGCCAGAAAGCAGGCTGATGACTAAAAGAATATTTTAATGTAGCATTTTCTTCTGAGTTGGGGTATAGATAAAGTCAAAAGCTATATTCAGTCTTGTCAACACATGCTGTTAATACATGACTTTCATCTTCAGGGGACCTTGTTCCATCAGTGATGTTGTTTTGTTTTGTTGTGTTTTATTTTGGGTGCTCAGCAGGTTCAGGAACAACACTAGCAATATTTTGCCAACCAGATCATTAGTTAAGTGAAAAAAAAAGTCAGAGGATTCGACTTTTATTCGACTGCAGGCTTTGGGTTACCTGGGCCAATTAGTTATTGGGGCTCCAGGGCTGAACTGATGATACTTAGACCATGTATTACTTGGAAACAAACCCAGGTTTGGCAAATGCTAGAGATGCACCCTAACCTCTGTAATGTCTCCTGGTCCCCAAAGGTGTACATTTGTTCTGTTTTGTTTTGGTTTTGGGCCAGAGTTGGCTATGCTTAGGGCTTACTCCTGGTTCTGTGGTCAGGGATCCCTCCTGGTGGGCTCAAGAGACCATATGGGGTGCCGGGGATCAAACTTGGGTTACCTGCCTTCAAGGCAAGTGCCTTACCTAAAGTACTAATAATGTATTTTTTTAATGGAAAGTTTGGAGACTTAAGAAACAAATGAAAAGTTTGACTCGTTACTCTTAAATTTGCTAAAAAGCAATTTATACTAGTTTAATTAACATACATTATCGTTCTTCTTATTCTGACTTGACAGCATCTCTCAGCAGCTTGTTTATTACACCGTTTCCTTCCCCAAACTCTTCACTTACCCGAAGTTGTGCCAGCAGCTACCAGCGACGTTGGCGAAGGAGCCAAACAACAAGTTTGGAAAATGGGGTATTTCCTAGATGGTAAGTTCTAACCTTACAATTTAAAAATTTCATAATTTTGTAGGCTAAGTATCTTGTTTATCCCTTTATTACTCCCTTTGCTTATCTTTTATTTTACTTCTACAGTCAAAAGAAAAAACAGCTAGCAAGGAAGAGGTTATATATATAATTCAGGCATTTTGAGGTTGATTATGTATTTTTTTCATTTTTTATAATTTTATTTATTGAATCACTGTGAGAGCAGTTACAAAGCTTTCGGGTCTAAGTCTTGGTCATACAATGAAACACCCGTACCTTCACCAGTGCCCATTCTCCACCACCAAAAACCCCAGTATACCCCCATCCTATACCCTCCCCCTACCTGTGGGACAGATGATTTGCACATTATTCTCTCTCTACTTTGATCACATTCAGTATTTCGACACCAGACTCACCATTATTTGAGATTTTATCCCAACACTCAGATCTGCTGAAAAGGAAACAGTAGACAATTTGTGTTCTATTGCTGGTTATGAATAACATATGATGTTGCGTGGCTGCAGTAGGGCCATGTGATTTTGAAATTCCGAAATTTTAACACTTAAATCTGGTGGGATTTCTGCCAAAAGCCACTGGGTTTTGAGATTTTCTCCTGAGTCTCTGGGATCATGGCCGTTGAGCAGCTTGATCAGGAGCCAGAGAGGCTGTCCGTGGGCAATGACTTGGGGTCTTGTTGGGACGGGGAGACGAGGACCGGCTCCACGCCCATCCTGTGAGGTCCAACAAGTTTCTTCACTGTGGGCCCAGGCCTGACTGTCCAATGGCCTCTGGAGGATGATGGCCACTGAACCACCAAGGGGGAGCAGACGGAGGGACAATACCCTTACCCCCCTGGGGTGGCTCAGTGACAGTAACCTACTGCGGGGCCCCAACGCATTTCTGCTAAAAGCCGCTGGGTTTCGAGATTTGTTTCTGAGTCTTTGGGATCAAGGCCATTAAGCAACTTGATCAGGAGCCAGAGAGGCCGTTTGTGGGCAATGACTTGGGGTCTCGTTGGGGTGGGGAGGACAGGCCTGGCTCCACCCCCATCCCGTGAGGCCCAACAAGTTTCATCACTGTGGGCCCAAACCTGCCTGACCAATGGCCTCTGGAGGATGACGGCCACTGAGCCGCCAAGGGGGAGCACGCGGAGTGACAATGCCCTTTCCTCCCTGGGGTGGCCCGGTGACAGTAACGTACTGTGGGATACGGACGCATTTCTGCCAAAAGCCACAGGGTTTTGAGATTTGTTTCTGAGTCTGTGGGATCATGGGCCGTTAAACAGCTTGATTAGGAGCCAGAGAGGCTGTTTGTGGGTGATGACTTGGGGTCTCGTTTGGGTGGGGAGGACAGGACTGGCTCCATCCCCAATCCGTGAGACTGTGCGTGTCTCGTCACTGGGGGCCCAAACCTGACTGTCCTGTGGCCTCTGAAGGACGGCAGCCATTGGGTCGCCAAGGGGAATAGGCCAAGGCATGAAACCTATTCTCACCTGGGTTGGCCCGGCGCCGGTAACATACTGCAGGGACCAGACACATTTCTGCCAAAAGCTGCTGGGTTTCGAGATTTGTTTCTGAGTCTCTGGGATCATGGCCATTAAGCAGTTCAGTCAGAAACCAGAGAGGCCATGCCTCCAATTATATAGCTCAGCCAGAGGTGGTTTGTGGGTGTGTTTCCCACATACCTAACTTTTGGCCGTTTACTTTCTTGGTAAACTTTGCCCCAAGTTTTTGGGGTCTGGCCAAAGGCACAGCAGCAATTTTGGGGTATCTGGAAGTCTGAAGGGACCATCATGCTGTTGATGCACTCGCCTGACAGGTACAGATTGACCTGCTGGCGGCACCATACCCCCGTGATTATTTATTTTGATTCCATACTTTCTTTTTGCAGACACTGGGGAGTCTTTCATGAGTGCCCAAAGGTCTGGGGGACCACTTGTGGTTGTATTCTGCCAGCCGCGATAGGACAGTTCAGTACTTGGCCTAGTGGTACTGGAAACACTAGGGTCACATCTACTGGTTCTAATGGTTCCACATGTTGGTGGGAGATTGAATTTGGTTTCCATATATAAACCACACACCCCTGAACACTGGGTCATCTCTCTATGGCTTCTGATTATTTACATTTTTAGTGACATAATTGAATGAAAAGTAGTCCTAATCTCTTTATAAATTTATTTCAACAATGTGTGTATAGAGGAATAGCCAGTAGATTTCTCAAATAAAAAATTGACAGGGGCTGGAGAGATAACACAGCAGGTAGGGCGTTTGACCCGAGTTTGATTCCCAGCATCCCATATGGTCCCCTGAGCACTGCCAGGAATAACTCCTGAGTGCAGTGCCAGGAGTAATTCCTGTGCATTGCTGGATGTGACCCAAAAAGCAAAAAAAAATTGACGTAATTTTTACATTTACTAGATAAGATAGCAGTCATTTACTCTACATTTAGTAAGAAATTCGATTGTAGGGCCCGGAGTGATAGTACAGTAGGTAGGATTTTTGCTTTGCTTGAGGACCACCTGGGCTTGATCCTTGGCAACCCATATGGTGCCCTGAGCACTGTCAGGAGTAATTCTTAAGTGCAGAACTAGGCATTGCTGGTTGTGACCCAAAAAGCCGGGAGGGAGGGAGGAAATAAATTGGATTGCAATTTTATTTTATGTATTTTTCTTTTTTTTTTTAATTGAATCACCATGAATTTAAAAGTTACAATGATATTTATGGTTCAGTTTCAGGCATATATTGTTCCAACACGAATCCCTTCACCAGTGCCCGCTATTCTCCAACAATATCCCAAGTTTCTCTTCTGCCCCTCAGCCTGCCTTTGTGGTAGGCACTTTCCCCCTCCCCCGTTGTCTTAGTGTTCTGTTCCCAAGCTTATCCGTCTTACCCCTGCCCTAGTGCCAAGCTTCTTAATGAAGAACAATTCTCCTTTTTGTTTCTATTGCCTTTGGGCATTTGATATTCTCCTACTAAGTTTCTTTATATCACACATATGAGAGAGAGAGAGAGAGAGGGAGAGAGAGAGAGAGAGATTATTCTTATTCTTAATGTGTTCCTCTCCCTCCAATTGTTTTCACGCAACATGATACTCTCCACATCCATCCATGTTGCAGCAAATTACTAGTTTTTAACTTTTCTTACAACTTATGTGTAGTATTCCCCGCTACTAGTACATATGCTATATGTACTATAGTTTCTTTGTTTTTTTTTTTGTTATTTTTATCATTTTATTTTTATAAAGTAGTTCACAATAGTTCGTTACTGATAACTTTCAAATGCCCACCCCACCAGTGAGCATTTTCCACCACAATAAGAGGGAAGTGTTTGAAGGTTGTTGTTTTTTATTCTGGAGCCATTTAAGCCCACATATGAGAGAATACAAGCGAGAATGTTAAAACCAAACAAATGTGTGCTACTTGAGGTATATCAATGGACTAGAGTATAAGGCTTGAGCGGGCCCAGTAACATCTCCATCGGAGACTTTGTTGTTACTGTGTTTGGCATATCGAATACTCTCGGTAGCTTGCCGGGCTCTCCGAGAGGGGCGGAGGAATCGAACTCGGGTCGGCCATGTTGGCCGCTTGTAAGGCGAACGCCCTACCCGCTGTGCTATAAGAGGTTGCATGGCCTTGAATGCTGCTGCGCACTCCAGGAAATACTGTGTAGCTCTCTTCCAGGAGCTTTACTTTATAGTCTGTGGATCTTGGCCACTGATGAGATTACATGGTGCGGAGGGCAGTTTGTGGGTGTGACTGCCAAGCTACTGGAAAACTGGGGAGCTGGAAGAAGCCCAGTCCCTATCAAAGTAGACTTGGAGATCTCAGCCACAGGTCCCACATACCTGGGTTCCTCTGCCGGTTCCTTCATGTGTGAGGCTCGTCCGAGCATGTGGAGAGTGGCCTTGAGTATGGCTGCAGCTGGGTCCTGGAGGTTTTTGGCTGCTGGGGTTCTGCTTGGGGTGGGGAGGGAACCTCAGCCTGCCCCCCTCTCTGAGGTGCCCCTGTGAAGACAGCCTGGTGTGAGGTCAGGAGATTCTGCCCTACCATAGTTTCTTTATCTGGTTATTTGTTTATTGGCATTTGTGTTGTTTCTATATTCAGCCATTGTATATAGTAATGCAGTGAACTTAGGAGTTCGGGTAGGTATCTTTTCTGCAGTGTGGTTTTGGGCCCTTAAGGTAACATTCCCAGCGATGGAATTAACTGAGTCAAATGGAAACAGACATCCATATTGTCTTCAAAAAGACTGGACCAGTCCACATTCCCACCAGCAGTGAATGAGGATCCTGTTTTTCTCCACGTCCTCGCTAACACTGGTGGTTGCTCTTTTTGATGAGTTCCAGTCTCTGTGGTATGAAGTGATACCTTTCATACCCCAGAGATGACTTTTATGTGTTGTGTGTTTAGATAACTAGAGTTAGAATGTCGTTGTATCCTCTCTGGGAGATATGATGAAGTGAATGCTGACTGACCTGAAGGTGAAATGGTGTGGTTCCAGTTTGGAGTTCTTGGAAGTAGAGTTGGGCCTTTGCAGGCCAAATGTGGCTGTCTGGAACACTTCCTGGGATCCTGACTGACCTCAGGGCACAATGGCACAGTTTTGAATTAGATTGTAATTTTAATGGCATTACTTTTATTACACTTCTTTTTCATTGAAATATTTATTTTTAAGGTCAATAGAAGAAAGTTTTAATCTGTCAGATGAAAACTGTGGCCCAAATCCAGGAATCGTGAGGAAAAAGAAGATTGCTATTGGGGTAATCTTTTCATTATCCAAAGATGAAGAAGAAAATAACAAATTTAATGAATTCTTTTTTTCACACTTTCCTCTTTTTGAAAGTCACATGAACAAATTAAAGAGTGCAATAGAACAGGTAAGCATAATCATGTTGTAGTTAATTTATATTGCTTAATTTTCTTGAAATCTTATTTTTGTTATCAGCTTAATGTCTATTGATTGGTCGGAAAAAAATTGTGGAGTTTTGGTAAGGTGCTTTGGTACTATGTGATACTGGGCTCCAGCATGCACTCCAGACAAATATTTGAGGACCTAAAATTTGGCAGGCACTGTTACAGCAACTGTCACTGTCACTGTCCTCCTGTTGTTCATTGATTTTCTCGAGTGGTCCAGTAATGTCTCCATTGTGAGACTTTGTTGTTACTGTGCTTGGCATATCGAGTACGCCACAGGGAGCTTGCCAGGCTTTGCCGTGCGGGCGAGATACTGTCAGTAGCTTGCCAGGCCCTCTGAGAGGGACGGAGGAATCGAACTTGGGTCGGCCATGTTGGCTGCGTGCAAGGCCAACGCCCTACCCTCTGTGCTCCAGCCCAACAGCAGCAACTGAAGATACAAAAAAAAGCAGTACCACGTGGCTCAGCAAATAAACAAATGGATGTTTAAGTAAATTTTAAATTAACTTAAATTAATGTTAAGAGTTTAGGTCCTAATACCTGCTGTGAAGAATAATAAAACAGGGAAAAGATTATATGGAATGCGGGGTGAAAGGATTCTTGGGATCTGTACTGAGAAATGCTTGTGAGGTGCCAGAGATTGAACTGAGACTCCCATGTGCTCTATACTCATTTCATTGAGCTATTTCTTTGACAGATTCTTTTCTTTGTTTAGGTCTCACCCAGTAGCACTTAGGTCTATTCCTGGTTCTGTATTCAGCATCTGCTTGTAGCAGGGGCTTAGGGAACCAGCCAGTGTCATAGATGCATTTGCAATGCATGTGCTCAGTCCATTGAGCTATCTCTTGAACCCCTTTTATTTACTCTTCAGAAGGATGGAAGAGCCAGAGAGGTAGTACAAGGGTTAAGGCATTTTTCTTTCACTTGACTGACCCCTCTCCGTATGGTTCCCGAGCAACTCTGGAAGTGATCTTTGAGTCCAGCTCCAGGAGTAGCTCTTGAGCATCACCAGATGTGAACTAAACTACCCTGTTCTGTTCTCCTCCAGAAAGACAGATGGGAAACCTTAGAGAGTTTTGAGTGTAAGAATTACTCTTATTTTATTAGGATTACTCCTACTCCCGGTAGGGAATAGATTTCTAGAGGCAAAGATGAATGTTGGGGCTGGAAAGATAGCACAGCACAGAGGGTGCTTGACTTGCATGCAGACAACTCAGGTTCAATCCCAAGCACTGGCAATGGTCCCCCAAACTGCCAGCAGTGATTCCTGAGTGCAGAGGCAGGAATAAGACCTGAGCACAGCTGGGTGTGGCCACAAAACAACAAAAGAATTGTGTGGCACTAGTTAGAAGATGTGCAATAATTCAGATGTGGGATGGCAGATCAAGCCAATTTAGAGATGGAATTTATAAAAAGTGGTTGATTCTTTGAAAATATAGCTGAGACAGATATTCAATAAAAAAATTACAAAAAAAAAAGTAATGTGGAGTTCATGCCCGCCTCTGTTAGCTGAATCATTGGCTAAATAAATAGCAGTACTCCTACATTTGAAAAAAAAAAAGGAAACTGAGAGTAGTTGATAAGCTGAATTGGGATATAAGAGAAAGAGAACAATTTAGATTGATTAAAGATTTTTCACTTAAACAGTAAGAATGTGGAGTTGCTAGTACTAAAATGGGAAAGACCCCAGAAGGAACAGTTTTGGTGGTAGAAGGAAGGGAACTAGAGGTAATTTCTGAAGATCTATGTTGATATGAGTCTAGAGTTTTTAAAGTGCCAGGATAGAAAGTTGCCAGTATATAATACTTATATAAACTGATTGAGGGAGAGAGGAGAAGAGGCCCTTGATCTATATTTTGGAGCATTTTAGTAGTTCAGAATTCGAGATTAGTTAAGAAGAAACTAGTAGAAAAGAGACAGAGGACTGTTCAACTCAAGTAGGAGGAAGGAAAATAGAGTACTTTTTGTTTTAGCTCCCCAGAACTACTCAGGAATTGGAGGTGGGAATATTTAGCCCAGCAGTGCAAGGCCAGAGGCTTGGTGTTTCGCCTGCTTATGCAACATTACTTGGGCCTAGTGTTGCTGAGAACTGCCAGAGCCACAACCAGCAATGCTAGGGTCCTTGGACATGCAGGATATGCACACCAGTCCTTAAAAATTTAACTGTTCCCTGATTCCAAAGTACTTTTGGGAGTAGCCAAATAAAGTATTGTAAAAATTGGGAGTGACAAATTGTGTTAAGTGCTACTGATAATATATAGGATAAGTGTATGTAGAATATGAAAATTATTAAATATACACTGTAGAACATAAATGCTACTGGTGGCTCAATAAAGTAGGGGGGCAAGGTAGGTTGACTTGAGAAGAATACTTTCACCTCTGCACAACCCACCTTGGCCACTTGCACTCGGGGAATTTCCTGTTGTGTGTCAGGTCTAGTAAAGTCTGCTGGAAGCACATGAAAAACATACACGTTCACCTCCTATCAGCCCTCAGAGGCAGCCATCAAGCTGTGCTTGCAGTCCACTTGTTCTGCTCAGCAAGGGAGATGATCCTGGCACCTGGAGTACCACCTGGTGTGGCCCCAAAATGAGAAAAATAAAAAGAATTGCTGATAAAATTAAAAATGTTGCTCAAGTCTAAAGAATATTAACTTGTTTTTAGATAGGGATTGTGTCAGTAGGAACTTAAAGTTTAATTTTCACTCTGTGGATATACATGGACATAATTTATGATATTGAAATTGTCTGAAGTTGTCCTAAAATATACACTTTTAATTTGTATTTAGTTTTGTTTTGGACTACATCTGGCACTGCTCAGGGCTTATTCCTAGCTCTGTGCTGAGTGAGCACTCCTGGTTGGGATCGTATGTGGTTCTGGGAATTGAACCTGGCTTGGCCATGTGCAAGGCAAGCACTGTATGAACTTTCTGGCCCCCTAAATAATATATTTTTAAATATTTTAAATCAATTTTAGTTACTTATAAGTAGTACACAGAATTCTTTTAAATTCTTTTAGAACCCTCCTTATTTTTGTCTCTAATACTGCTGCCCTCCTTCATTCCCATGCCTACAGGAATAGTATCATCCATTTTGGGAAATTGAGTTTTTCAGTTTATATTTTTAAAAAAGCAAGCATTACTAATAACCTGAGGTATTATTCAATAGATCATATTTTAGAGTAATAACTGTTGGCTATAAAATAGTATACCATTTTCTTTGTCGTAAGTAATTAAATACAGTAAGTGTTGTGCTTTTTAAATTAGTCATTCTATATAATTGAGAAGCTGTCAATAGTTTTTTTTTATGTTGGCATTCTATTGTTTGACAGTATCAATAAGATATTTAAATACAATTTAGAATTTTGTTATAATCGTTACAAAAGTATGCAAAAGGCAGCCACTGTAAATATTTGTGTTTTCTAAAAAATACATATTCTGGATAGAGTGGTAGCATTGTGGAAACTTTTTCATACTTCCCCATGATTAATATAAGAATTAACTATTTTATTGCTTTCAAGGCTATGAAAATGAGCCGAAGATCAGCTGATGCCAGTCAGAGGAGTTTAGCATATAATCGAATAGTTGATGCCTTAAATGAATTCAGGTACATATCTTCATCTTCAGCTTTCCTTAATATAGTTATTTCACATGTGTAAATGAGTGTTTCTTTAACATGCTCTAATAAATTTTAATTTTAAGAATTCCTTAGTTTTGTATTCAGGCGAGGCTTTTATTTTTTAGACCTTGGATATTATGTAATGAAATATCAAATATGCTTGTATTCAGACTCATTTTGGGAGCTTACGGTATTACAATGTTAGTTTTCTTTCTTTTTTTTTTTTTTTTTTGCTTTTTGGGTCACACCCAGCTGATGCTCAGGGGTTACTCCTGGCTCTGCACTCAGGAATCACTCCTGGCGGTGCTTGGGGGACCATATGGGATTCTGGGAATTGAACCCGGGTCGGCTGTGTGCAAGGCAAAAGTCCTACCCGCTGTGCTATTGCTCCAGGCCCGTGAAGGGTTTTTTGTTTTGTTTTGTTTTGAATAATGTTAGTTTTCAGTCACTGGATAAGCATCCTGAGCAGAAGTAACCATTGTTACAGCAGAAATGGCTTTTTTTTTATAGCTTCCCAGTTATACGATATGGTTAAGTGCTATTTAATCACTGATGATAATGAAATATTTTTGGAAGGTGGAATACATAGATAGGTATAGATTGTATGAACTTGTTTCAAATAATGCACAGCAGATAGTCTTCTTTGTGTAGTTTCTGGCACACCAGTGTTTGTTACAACTCTTATAATTGTACTCTGATTATGGCAAGGAACATATTGTATTTAAACTTATGTTGAGATCACACTCAGTGGGTGATATGTTGCTAAAACAAAAAGATTCAGTTTTGTTTTACTTCATCCTCTTGGTCATTTTCATTGGAAATCTAAGCAGATAGGGCACAAACATAGACTTATTATCTGGTAGACAGATAACCTTACTTAGTATCTGGTAGACAGATAACCCTGGCTTTCTCTTTTACTAACCCAGGAATGCAAAGTTTTAGTGGCCTTACCCATATCCGCAGATAAAGCTGATTAAGTCAGTGCTTTGCCTTGTTTCAGCTCTCATTTTGTAAATAAGTATCCCTTTTGGCATCTATTTAATGTCTCTTCTTAAATTTTCTTTTTTTTTTTTTTTTATGGAATGTTTCATGAATTTGCGTGCCATCCTTGTGCAGGGGCCATGCTAATCTTTTCTTTATCATTTCAATTTTAGTATATGTGCTGCCAAAGTGAGCACTTTCATGTGTTTTTATTATTAAAAATGGCACTGAGCTTCGTGCTTAAATGCTGTCTACTATTTATAAGTGTAGGTGGCTATGATGTGTTTGCTTTTTAGAAATAATACATATTAAGTTAGCTTCGTTCAGGCATGAGTCATAGTGATGTTAGCTGTGAATTTAGTGTCAATGAGTGAATAGCATATTAAACAAGGTTTCTTTAAACAGAAACCCACATAAAGCAAGATTATGTAATTGATGGGATGATGAAAATGTGACCAAGGGCTCACAGGAACCTAACTTTGTATTTCCCGTAGGAGCAGTTATTTATTACTCACTAATTCAATGTTTGTACCAACTTTATAGAAAATTACTGTAAATAATGAGAATCTGTCACACTTAAAATTAAGTTATTATTAAAATTAGCAGTGGATGTTTTTAAAGTATGTTTTTGAGAACAGATGATTAGTGAATTTGGGTTAGTTTAGAAGAGGAAGGAAATGATTCATTTGAATATGGAAGCCCTGAAACCTTGAGAAGTGGGAGGCATGTTTAGTTAGTACTGTTGCCTGACAGAGTTGAGATCTTTGCATTTTTATTTAGATATCACATATATCAAAGCTGGCTAAATCATGTCCACAATTCCTGTCTAATAAAAGAAAATCTTTACTTCCCTAAAAAATAGTTTTTGTTCTCAGAACAGACCAGGAAACATAAAGCGTTAGAGGATTGAAAATATGTTGGTAGGATATAATCATTAAGCCCTATGAAAGCACTATTTATTTATGACAAATTATTTTGTCACCTGATACATTTAGATCATGGTATGCATTCTTAAACATCGTAACACTAAATAAAGCTAATGTCCTCAGTAGACCCCTGTACTAAAGTTAGTATAGTATTGACTCTGACCCATGACATAGAACCTTGTAGGCATTAATGTACTAAAGAAATTTATGAAAAATGAATTTCTTAATTTTTTTATTTAATCACTGTGAGATAGACCATTACAAAACTGTTCATGATTGGTTTTCAGCCATGCAGTATTCCACCTCTATCCCTCTACCAATGTACATTTCCCAGCACCAGTGTCCCCAGGTTCCCTCCTCCCATCATTCTTCACCTCGAGGCAGGCACAAGAAAAATGAATTTATCTGTCCATTCATTGTGGTTCTTTTATCAAAAAGTATATTAATTGTTCAGATTAATAAGTAAGCAGTCAGGGAGATCTTACTGACTAAAACTAGAAAGACTCTTGCATGCAGCTGGTTCTAGGTTTTTTTTTTTTTTTCATCATATATGGTTCCTTGAGCACTGCCAGGAGTTACCCCAGAGCACAGAGCCAGGAGTAAGCCTTAAGCTCTGCCGGGTATGGCTTCTAGATTCTAAATAAAATAAGATAAAATCAATTAATTTATGAATAGGGTATTGGGAAAAGGACTCAAAAGGCTGAAGCACATGCTTTGTGTGTATACAGCCCTGGGTTCAGTCCTTGATGCAGTATAGTCTCCTGAGTACTAACGGGAACAACCCCTGAGTGCCAGGCTTGGAGTAAGCCCCAAGCACCTCCGGGTCTGGACCTTTTCACAAAAAACGAAGAAACAAAAGAAAAATCTGAAAGATTTAATGATGAGACAAAAATAAGTGTAGCATTCTTCTCCCAATTCCCATTCTTATTTCCGAAGACACTCTTTTTTAACTCTTTCTTGTATTTTACCTCTGTTTTAATTGAGTAGTACACTTAACACACTGTTACTTCTTTCTTTGTTTTGGGGGCCATACTCGACTGTGCTCAAGGCTTATTCCTGACTTTGTGCGCAAGGATCACTCCTGTCAGGGCTCAGGGACCCTATGGTGTGCCAGGAATCAAACTGTTTGTGCAAACTGTCTGTTAGTACAAAGAAGTACCCTACCCACTATACTGTTGCTCTGGCCCCAATAGGTATTTCTTGATTTATTAGCTTTGTATTTTCTGCTTTGAGTTTATACTTGTTCTCCAATTTTTTGATTATATTATTATTATTATTATTATTATCTCAGTGTATCTTTAATACTACCTTGTCTTTCAACTGTTTTTCACTTTTCTTTGATAATTTTTTCCCTTTTTTCTCATCAGTTCTTTTTGTTAACCTATTGATCAGCTTTCTATTATTTTCTTTCATGTTTTTCTCTTTTTCTCAAAGTTGTTTTTTTCTATGTAATAATTTTGTGTATGTTTGTGTGTGTGTGTGTGTGTGTGTGTTTCTTTACCTTTCTCCTTGGAGGCATGTTTTGGTTGTAATTTAAAGTGAGGTACCAAAATATAGTTTGAGAGCCCTATGCTTGATTAGATTTCTGACTGGAGATCTCCACTTTAGGGTAGTCTTCATTTTTTTAAAATTATTACCCCTGAGGATTTTTAAAAAGATTTTCTCCCTTAATCACCAATCCACCAGCACCCAGCAGTGCTTAGTGTTTATTTTTGATGTCTTACCCTGTAGACTCACTCTAAGCACCACTCTACCCATGAAAATTTCATTGCATGAGATTTATTGTGTATCTATGTATATACTGTGAAAGAATCAGATGTCAGGAAGTGTCTTGGAGACAATGTTTCTCTACACTAATCAGTTGCTGCATACATGCTCTATAGTTATTTTGTAAAATATGGGGTAAAGATCACTAGAAATTTAAGGGCCCTGAATTAGTCTCCCACTTAGTTACTATATAATTAAACCCAGAGCTTCCTCTTCAGTGCTGTACTATCTCTCTGGCCTGCTTTTCCTGTTTTTGAATTTCTAGTTACTGAATTTTGCTCAGGTAGCTGTATGAACTTGTAGAGATTTTAGAATTTCTTAGAACTGTACTATAAACTGTAGTAGCTGCTAGTTACTTGTGATTATTTAAATTAATTTAAAAAAATCTGTCTCATCTCAGTTCAAGTGTTGAATAAAGCCCTGTATGACTTAACGGCTTAACATAGTGGACAAGACAGATAAAGAGCATTTCCATCATGCCAGATGTTTTATTAGATAACATTGTTATAGAGTATGGGACGTCATTTTCTATCTTCTGAGAGATATATTGTTTATTAAGCTTTTCAGAAAGTGCTTAGTCTTAGGAATATAGACACCATTTTTCTGCTGAGGGCCATTTGGATATTTATAACATTATTGGTGAGCTCTAAAGTACAGAGTGGCATGCTACAGGCAGCAGATAAGAAGTGTATGTGTCAGTTCCATCACGTAAAGCCAACTAGACCACCAGATTTCTTGTGACTTACATGCCTTTAGTTTGATGCTTTCCCACCCCTAGTTTAGTGAGTAAGTAGGACTTCGCAAATTTACGTGAGTCATTATGTAGGCCACATATAGATATTAGTGTGAAAGAAAAACACTATCTAAATGGTATCCTTGGAAACCTTCAGGAGATATGAGAGTCACTGGAGTAGCTACTGTTTATTGTAGAAGAAACAGTCAGAAAAGCACTTTCATAATTGTGGAATAGCCATCCCCTGTGTTATTCAAGGAAGAATGTCAGAAGGTTGAGTTATAAAAAAATATTATGCACATTGAGAGTCCTGTCTTTCAACACTTTTTTTTTTTTTGGCGGGGTGGGGGACAGGCATACCCAGTGATACTCAGGGGTTACTCCTGGCTCTGTGCTCAGGAATTACTCCTGGTTGTGCTTGGGGGACCGTATGGGATGCTGGGGTTCAAATCTGGATTGACTGTTAGCAAAGCAAATGCCCTGCCTATTGCACTGTCGCTCCTGCCCCTCAATACTTAGAGTTTCAACATAAGCAGCAAAATAATGCTGATAAGCTATTGAATGGACACATGGATGAACTATTATACCACTTAGAATATTTTGCTGTTCTTAGTACATTTTTTACAGTATAAAAGTAAAGTAAAGGCCCTCCCATTGTTCATCGATTTGCTCGAGCGGGCCCAGTAAATTACAGTATATTTATAAAAAATGTGTGGGTGTGTGTAATGTGATAGGAGGCCTCCTAAGCAGTGCTCAGAGGTCCAGCCCTCATTGTGATTCTTGGCCAACTGGATTATTGATTCTGTGAGAGAGTCTGTAGATGCTGTATTACAAGGGTCCTGCAGTGCTAGGGATTACTCAGACCACTGTGGTTGCGCTCTGGGGCCTCCCAGGTTGCCCCTAGTGGTAGCTTTTGAAATTATGTGGTTATGGTTTCATTTTACACTTGAAGAAGATTGAAGTTTGAAAAAATTGATCCATGGGAATACTGTCTTTTCGATCTGAGCTAATATCACAAATATGATTGACCTCATATGCTCAAGTTCATTTTCCAAACTACTATTCTGGTGATAAGGAAGGAACAGTAATAGTAATCTAAGTGTATGAATCTCATGCCACTTGGAAACTGTAAATTCCATGTTTTTTTTTTCTCTTTTTAGAACAACAATATGTAATCTTTACACAATGCCACGAATTGGAGAGCCTGTCTGGCTTACAATGATGTCAGGGACTCCAGAAAAGAACCAGCTTTGTCATCGTTTCATGAAAGAGTTTACTTTTCTAATGGAAAATGCTTCCAAAAATCAGTATGATTTACTTTTATATGTTTAAATTATCTCAGTGTGTTTTTCTTTGTTATGACTAGATATCTAGATTGTAATTAATCTTGATTATAAGAATGAATTTTAGCCATTATCTCTAATATTGGTTATATTAAGCTAATCAAAACAATTCTCAAAGATAAGCAAAAGATAATGGAAGCCACAATTTGAATAAAAAGTAGTAGAAATATCTTGTATTAAGTTAAAATTCTTGACATTTTACAGTGTTCTCTAAGACCAGTTTTTAAGAACTGTAACATAGTTTCATTTTGTAGAAAGGTAAACTGAATGAAGTTTTAGGATTTCAATTACACATTTTAATTTGATATCTTAAAATGTCTTTTTTTACCTTTTTTGGTCTTGTTTTTGGGCCATACTTGATGGTGCTCAGGGGGTTACTCCTGCCTCTGTATTCAGGGGTCATTCCTGGTAGGCTTGGGGAGACCATACTAGGTACTGGGGATCCAAACCAAGTCTGCCACTTGCAAGACAAGCACTTTACCACTGTATTCTCGATATGGCTCCCAAAATATTGTTGGGATTTAATAAAAATATTAAATTCTTAGAGGCCATATGAAATTAATTTTAATGTTTTTGTTCTCTCTGATAGTAGGCAAAATATATTTAATACTTGCTTTGTTTTCTTTTTTCCATTAAGCATTGGAATATACAGACCAGCAAGTTAATTAATAAACTCTGCATATGAAATACTTAAAGGAAATCCATAGTTTTCAAGTGAAATAGCATCTTTATGATTATCAAAATAGCTCCTTCTGAATCTCTCTTTATTTTAATGATTTTCTTAACTTTTCTTCAACTAAAAGATTTAATGTCTATGCCTGTTCTTTCTCTTGACCTCTTTATGCTATAAGTGCATAGGAGTGAGTGTTGTTTTTTGCGTTATGCTGCATTTTTACTTAAGGTTTTATAATCGTAGGTTTGATTCTGATACAATATGTTTTGTTTTCAGATTTTTGCCAGCACTCATTACTGCCGTTCTGACCAATCATCTTGCCTGGGTTCCAACCGTCATGCCTAATGGACAACCACCTATAAAAATATTTTTAGAAAAACATTCCTCTCAGAGTGTGGACATGTTGGCAAAGACTCATCCTTATAACCCTCTTTGGGCACAACTGGGTATGTAACTTGAAAAACCTTACATTATGTGTTACATATAACTATTGCATAATTATAATTATTTTATATAACAGAAACAAATTTTAATTGTTCTTTTACTTTTTTGTTCATTCTAAAGCACCTCTATGATAATACTTTATGTATTTTAGTGTTTCCACTCTTTTATTCTGAAGTCTTCTTTATTGTGCCATCATGTTTGCTAAATTGTTCTCTCCCTGTCTTATGCCAGATAATATTTCTTAGAGATAGCTATTGGAGCAAGGGGTGCAGGATGATGTTTGGTTTATTACTAACATCAAGATCTTCGGATTTTATTTTATTAGGTATCTTGTCTAGGAAGAATGAGTTCACAAAGCTACCTGTGGTAGAATAAATATAATTAAATGAGAACAGATTGCTAAGATTTCTGAGAATAGATGACTGGCTAAAGAAACTTTGGTACATTTACACAATGGAATACTACGCAGCTGTTAGAAAAGATGAAGTTATGAAATTTGCATATAATTGGATCAACATGGAGAATATCATGCTAAGTGAAATAAGTCAGAAAGAGAGGGACAGATGTAGAAGGACTACACTCATTTGTGGAATATAAAGTAACAGAATAGGAAATTAACACCTAAGGATAGTAGAGATAAAGATCAGGAGGATTACTCCATGGCTTGGAAGTCGGTCTCACATGAAAAGGCAGCTCAGATTGAGAAGGGACCACCAAGTGGGTCCGCTTGGAGGGTCCGCTCGGGATGGGAGATGTGTGCTGAAAGTAGAATATAGATTGAGAATGATGGCCACTTAATACATGTATTGCAAACTACAACACCCAAAAGGAGAGAGAGTAAAAGGGAATTCGCCTGCCACAGAGGCGGGGGGTGGAGGGGGAATGGGAGGAAGGATACTGGGAACATTGGTGGTGGAGAGTGGGCACTAGTGGAGGGATGGGTACTCGATCATTATGTGACTGAAACGTAAGCACGAAAGTTTGTAAGTCTATAACTGTACCTCACAATGATTCACTTTTTTTTTATTGTATCACTGTGAGATAGACACGAAAGCTGTTCATGATTAGGTTTCAGTCATACAGTGTTCCAATATCCATCCCTCCACCAGTATATGTTTCCTAGCACCAGTGTCCCAGTTCCCAGTTTGCAGTTTCCCTCCCATCACTTCCCACCCCCAGCCTGTCTCTTGTTCTTCCTCTCTCTCTCTCTCTCTCTCTCTCTCTCTCTCTCTCTCTCCCCTTTCTTTCTCTCTTCTTTCTCTTCTTTTTCTCTCCTCTCTCTTTCTCTTTTCCTTTAGGGCACTGTGGTTTGCAGTACAGATTCTGAAAGGTTATCAGGAATATCCCTTTACCTCCTCAGTTCTTGTCCTTTATGATCATTTGCAGCTATTATTGTCATACTGTTCTATTATCTATCTTACCCATCCTCTACCCCATATGCACTTGTGGTTGATTCCAGCTGTTGACCAGTCCTCTTCGCCCCTGTTTTCTGGACCGTAGATATTAGTCTTTATATAGCACATGCACGCGCGCGCGCACACACACACACACACACACACACAGAGCACTGTAGCACTGTTCTCCTGTTGTTCATCGATTTGCTCGAGCAGGCACCATTAACTACTCACAACAAATTGTGAGACTTGTTACTGCTTTTGGCATATCGAATACGTCACAGGTAGCTTGTCAGGCTTTGCTGTGCAGGTGAGATACTCTCGGTAGCTTGCCAGGCTCCCCGAGAGGGGCAGAAGAATTGAACTCGGGTCGGCTGCGTACAAAGCAAATGCCCTACCCGCTGTGCTAATGGATAAAATTATTTGACTTTTCTTTTCAAACTGACATCAGTAACAGAACAAAACTACTCAGTGTGATAGTCTTCAATTTGTTTACATTGTTATAAAAGTGATCGAAAGTTAGATTCCAAAGAAGAACATGTAAGAATGAATGAGTTAAAACTATCTGCTCTTCAATACAAATTTCCAAAGTGACAAATCCACCTGAAGAAAAACTGTGATCTGATTTTTATAATCACATAAACCTTATATAATTTAGATTTAGCTATCCAATGACAGGAGTTTTTCTCTCATGCTATCTCAGTTTGAATTCTCTTATAGCACTTACCCAAAGTTAAATAATTTGGACACAAAAATGATACAAGAATCTTAGGAATGAATTTAACTATTTGAATAGTCTCACCCTATAAATTACTAATTCTAAGAACATTAATAATTATTATGTGAAAAACATCTATAGAACATTCCATATCACAGATAACTGGTAGACAAATAGGTTTCTTATATTAGCAGAGTTGGCCAAAAATCTCCAAATATAAGCTTATGTGCTAGTCCTTTTGTCATCTAAAAATTAAATTGAAGAAAGGTATCTGTACGGAATGCAAAAACTGGGTTTCCGTTAATTTTCCTTTATTATTTTTTTCCACTCCTCTGTCAACATTGGTTATGCAATATCTATTTGTTAAAAATAAGCAAATAAGCTTATCAGTTTTGCAAGATCAAAATTAATTTATTTGACACCAAGTCGTGAAGAGACATTCCTTTTTAACCTACTTGATTTATTTCTTGGATGTTCCTATGGATTATATTTACTCAAGAAAACACACAAGGTAGTAATGCCATAGAAACTTTCCAATTCATTTATTTCCATACAGAAATCAATTCCTATATTATACAGAACCGAAAAGTTGTCCTTAAAAAAAAAAGTTGATGCTATGCTAGGGGTGTAACTCCTTATAAAGCAAGCATGAATGTGGCATTAAACTTAAGTTTGATGTATATAAGTATACTTATTGATGTATATAAGTATATAGAAGTATAAGGATATACAAGTATATATACAACTATATATAAGTATATACAAGTGTATGTCTATATAGGTGTATTTATGTATGTATATATGTGTGTGTGTATATATGTGTGTGCGTGTGTGTTTGTGTGTGTATATACACACATATATACCACAAATGAATGGAGTCATTCTATTGCTGTTCCTCTCCTTCGGACTCATTTCACTCAGCATGATATTCTTCATGTCCATCCACTTATAGGCAAATTTCATGAGTTCATTTTTCCTAACAGCTGTGTACTACTCCATTGTGTAGATGTGCCATAGTTTCTTCATCCATTCATCTGTTCTCGAGCACTCAGGTTGTTTCCAGATTTTGGCTATGGTGAACAGTGCTGCAGTGAACATAGGAGTGCAGATGGTCTTTTTGCTGTGTGTTTTTGGGCCCCTAAGGTATATTCCCAGAGGTGGTATTGCTGGGTCAAATGTCTTCCACCCTTTTAATGGTCATTAAATTCATAAATTCAAAAGTAAAATTGAACCATATGATAAATATGCTGTTATTTGTTTTCCATTTAGAATGAGTCTCATTTTTTCCGCTTTTTTTTTTCTTTTCTTTTTGCTTTTTGGGTCACAGCCAGCAATGCTCAGGGGTTACTCCTGGCTCTGCACTTGAAATTATTCCTTGCAGTGCTTGGTGGACCATATGAGATGCCGGGGATTGAACCTAGGTCAGCTGTGTCCAAGGCAAACACCCTACCTGCTGTACTATTGCTCCAGCCTCTGCTCTTTCTGATCTATTGTAATTACCCATTCCTTAGGTCAAAAGGTGGCAACCTTTTTATCTGCCAAAGTCCATTTGGATATTAATAACAACATTTCAGCTACCATATAGTATAGGCAGATGGATCACAGGCAGCTGACCAGAAACATACATATCTTCCTTCATATACCCACGCTAGACCACAGAATTTCATGGGCCTTATATAGCCTATGGGCTAGATTGTCCCCATCTTTGCTCTAGGATGCAGTTAAGGAACTAGTAAGCTCGAAAATAATTGGAGCTAGTGTGGAATCATGGGTAGGGCAGCAACAGTAAGATAATAGTTCAAGAATATGATTAAAGTCAAAGACAGTTCAGTGTTACTGTGATTCTTCCAACTCTTCTCCATTCCACTTATTACTCTGTTCTTCTCCTTGCCCCCTAGCAGATATTGTACAATTTCTCTTCTCTGTAAAGGATACAATCCTTTTGTACACAATACTTCAGGAATACATCTTCCCACTTAAGATGAAGTGTTCTGCTTTTTGTCTGGGATCTGGCAAGGAGACTATTCTTGAAAAATGCTTCTTTCAGAACTGGATCTTTGAGATTTGAGAACCATAGAAACTTCTTGAGGAAGCTAGGAAACCTCTCCATTCATCTTGTCGTTTAGTTATCTTGTCCTTTGGTTCAGAACATTTATCAAATTCTACTCTCCCGAATATTCACTGCCTAGTAAAGATCTAAAAGTGAAACCTAAATAGCCTCCATACAATAAACATAGGTTTCTGGTCATTGAAGTCGCCTGATGAGGAAAGTTTATGTTCATTATCTGAATTTTCCATTGCAGGGGACTTGTATGGCGCTATTGGCTCTCCTGTACGGTTAGCGAGGACTGTGGTAGTTGGCAAACGGCAAGACATGGTCCAGAGGCTGCTGTATTTTCTTACTTACTTTATAAGATGCTCTGAACTTCAAGAAACACATCTTTTAGAAAATGGAGAAGATGAGGCCATCGTTATGCCAGGCACAGTTATTACTACCACATTAGAGAAAGGTGAAATAGAAGAATCTGAATATGTGCTTATTACAATGCATAGAAATAAAAGTAGTTTGCTTTTTAAAGAATCAGAAGAAACAAGGACTCCTAATTGTAATTGTAAATATTGCAGTCATCCACTCCTTGGGCAAAATATAGAGAATGTTTCACAACATGACAGAGAAGATATTCAAAATGGCACTAAGGAAATGCTAGGAATTTCAGATGAGTGCCGAATAATTTCTCCTTCTAACTGCCAAGAAGAAAATGGTGCTGATATTAAACAATACAGAGATAAATTAAGAACTTGCATTGACACCAAGTTAGAAACAGTTGTTTGTACAGGATCTGCTCCAGTTGACAAATGTGCATTGTCAAAATCAGACACAGACACAGCAGAGAAAACATGGCAGAGTGAAGAGTTTCTGGATTCAGATAAGCACATAGGCAAAGTGTTGAGACCCACAGGAATGGTTGTGGAAAAAAAGCCTCCAGATAAGCTTGTCACTGCTGCATTTTCTTGTGAGGCAGCCCAGACAAAGGTTACTTTCTTGATTGGGGATTCTATGTCTCCTGACTCAGATACTGAACTCCGGAGTCAGGCAGTGGTGGATCAGATTGCCAGACATCACACCAATCCACTGAAGGAAGAAAGAGGGGCTAGTGATCAACTTCAAGAAATTCAACAAACAACCAAGGACCAATCTGGAGAGTCTGTTATATCAGACGTGGTTTCTGGAGAGCCCTGTGAACTTTCCTGTTGGAATCATTCAGACCCAGAAAGCATGAGTTTATTTGATGAATATTTTAATGATGATTCAATTGAAACCAGGACTATTGATGATATTCCAGTTAAAACAAATACTGACAATAAAGAACATTGCTGTATTTTAGAGTTTTCGAAAAGACCATGTATAAAAAATAACAAACAAAACAATGAATTTTGTAAATGTGTAGAAACAGTTCACCAAGACTCATGTAAAGCCTGCTTTCCTCAGCAGGACCAAAGAGATACTCTCTCTATTCTTGTCCCCCATGGGGATAAAGAGAGTTCAGAGAAAAAAAATGTTGGAACTGACTGGGACATTCCAAGAAATGAGAGTTCAGATAGTGCCCTAGGAGATAGTGAAAGTGAAGATACAGGCCATGATATGAACCGACAAGTAAGCAATTATTATGGAGGAGAGCAAGAGGATTGGGCAGAAGAGGATGAGATACCCTTTCCTGGGTAAGTAGGACATTTAAGTTATAATAGGTCCTCTCTGAATACCCTTCTTGTTTGATTCCTGAAGGTTGGTAGGAGGTGATTTTAAAAAATGAATAATTATAGTAGAAGAATTCTCTTTTATTTGCTTATACTTACCAAAACGACTAAAGCTAATCCCCTGGGAAGAAAGGTTTAATGAAAGCATTAGAGAAAAGTTATGTTGATATATAGATTACTACTTGGATAATTTTTAAGACATTTAGCAGCCAGTTAGACTTTCTCTATTCTGAGCCTAGTAACTGGGGAGAGATCATAACTGAGAAAGTAGGAAATGGTATTTAGAAATAAATTTGGCAAAGCCTAAGAGTGAAACAGGAAATGTCTTTCTGGTTAAATATACTAGAGAAGATTTATACTTGAGAAAATAAGTTTTGAATTTTTGAGGTATTTGCTTTGTTTTGGATGTTGATTTTTATAGTTTGGTTGTATTTTAAATGTATTAAGCATAATCAAGTCTTTTATCAAAGTCTTGTGCTCACTTCACTAGAATCTCTGTTTTGGATTGAAAGGTCTATTTTATTGCCTATTTGTGACCTTAAACTAGTTTTTTTTTTTTTAACTTAAGAATAACTTTACTTTTTAGAATATGATGGTACTGAAATTATGAAATAAGTGAGCCAAGCTTATTTTTTACTAATAAAATATGTTTATTATTAATCAGACATGACTTCTTTGGAACCTCTTCCAGGTCAAAATTAATCGAAGTGAGTGCTATTCAGCCCAACATCGCTAACTTTGGGAGGTCCTTGTTAGGTGGCTACTGCTCATCTTATGTTCCTGACTTTGTTCTTCAAGGAGTTGGAAGTGATGAGAGGCTCCGTCAGTGTCTGGTATCAGATTTGTCTCATGCTGTGCAGGTAAGTGATCTTAACTATGCTTGAATTATTTTAGAATAAATTATATTACTCATTACTGTAAAAATACTCTTTTACCTTGTTAGAATTTTATTACTGCTTTATTCTGTTTCTTTTAGTGTCTTTTTTTATTGCCTCATTCCATCAGTGTTATCTTTGGAAACTTTCTTTGCTTATTATAGATATCATAAGTGAATTTCTGTTTTTCTTTTTTAGCATCCAGTGTTGGATGAACCAATAGCAGAAGCTGTCTGTATTATAGCCGATATGGATAAATGGACTGTTCAGGTGGCCAGTAGTCAGAGACGCATGACAGATAATAAATTGGGAAAGGAAGTATTGGTTTCCAGTCTTGTTTCCAACCTGCTTCATTCCACTCTTCAGCTTTATAAACACAATTTATCTCCAAATTTTGTAAGTATGTGTAGGACTTGAATCTTTATGAGTAGTTCGAAAGGCAACTCAAATCTATTTAGTATATACTTATATTAAATCCCATTTTAACATCACCATTATTTTCATAAGATATTATGAGTTGAATGATTTTGATACTTTGAATATTTTCAAAGAATATTTTTACAGTAAAAAGTGAAGTAAGAGTTGACCTTGTACAAGAGGCACTGACTATCCACCAAACTCCATGCATAGTTGAAAGTTTACACTTAAGTTCTGACTCTCCCAAATCTTAACTTAATAAACAGTCACTGGCTAAGTCTACTTAACTTAGAAAAATAATCCATTCACACTTGAACATTTGCAGTGTTTGATATCATAATAATTCAGTGATGGACACTTATGAATGTATACAGTATATTTCACTAAAATTCAGTACCTTAACGTGGTGGTGTTTGGAGATGAGCCTTTGGGAGGCAGTTAAGTCGGGGTGTTTCTCAGTTAGTGGCCTTCTACCAAGATGAAACTAGAGGTTGAAGCTCATGAGGACACGGAGTGGCAGCCATCTGTCTGTAAGACACTAAAAGTTCTTATAATATTTACTGATGGTGATTTGAGCTTCCAGAACTGTGAGAAAATAATTCTCTGTTGTTTAAGCCAATGAATCTTTGGTACATTATTAAAGCAGTCCGTGCTAATTTAAGACCGAAGAGGATGAGTATATGTCTTTACCGTCTATTATTTTAGCAGCTCAAATTTAGTGTATGATTAGTATGAGGTAAAGTTTGCAGTGTCCTTAAATTTTGTACAGACGCTCATTGACAGGTCACGACTTTAGTGATCCTCTTAATAATACAGCTTCCTTCATAATGAATATATCATTTCTAATTTTTAAGGCTCTTTCATTTATTGATAGGAACACTATATTAATGCATAATTAAGATCTCTATACATCAGTATGATAAACTCCATATGACAGTTTTTTGTCTTGCAGTATATAAAGTGATGGACAATGAAACTTTTATTTTCATATGAGGGATAAAACATAGATACTAACTTTCTGTTTAACATTGTACTAGAAAATGTAGAAGAGTAGTTAGTTAAAAGAAATAAAAATACAGGATAAATTTAAGAAGGTAGCTTGTACATTGAAAACTACAAAACATTGCTGAAAGACGTTGAGGGAAATAATAATGAAAATAGATCCTCTATTCATTGATTCTTAGACAGACTTAGTATTATTAAGATGACAGTGTAACCCCTATCGAAAATTTCCATTCTGGGCTGGTGCGATATTACAGTGAGAAGAGCATTTGCCTTGCATGCGATGACTTGGGTTTAATCCACAGTACTACATGTGAACTCCCCCCCCCCCCCCACCCGCCAGGAATGATCCCTGAGCTCAGAGCCAAGAATAAGCTCTAAATTGTGCCAGGTGTGGCTCAAAAGCAAAAGCAATCCATTCTTGTTTTGTTTTGTTTTGGAGTCACACCCAGCAGTACTCAGGGCTTATTCCTGGCTCTGTACTCAGGGATCACTTCTGGTGGTTTGGGGTTCAGTATGGGTGTTAGGAATTGAACCCAGGTTAGCTGTGTGCAGGATAAGCAAGCACCTTACACACTTTACTATTTCTCCAACCCCATTATATTTGTTTGTTTGCTTTGTTTTTGTTTTTTTGAAAAATAGATTCATCCGAAAATCTGAATGTTACCATAAAGGACCCTAGAGAGGCAAATCAGTCCTGGAAAAATACAGAAAGATTTGGAGAAGTAAACTTAAAAGTGAAAATAATTTAAATAGTGAAAGTCATTAGGAAAAAATATTTCCCAGTAGAATACTGTATCATTGTCATCCCATTCGTCACCAATTTACTTGAGCGGGCACCAGTAACTTCTCTATTCATTTCAGCCCTGAGATTTTATTTTATTTTGTACAGATATTTTGTACTTAAAAAAGTACAAAAACATTTATGCTTTGGAAACCAGTGTTTCCTCATTCTTGTTTTTTAAGTACATTTCAAATTATTAAGCCACATGATGACAAAATAGCACACATCATAGAAACCTCATAAAAAGGAGGTACAGAGAGAAGGTTATTTTTTTTTCCTTTTTGGATCACACCCATCAATTCTTAGGGGATACTCCTTGCCCTGCACTCAGAAATTACTCCTGGCTGTTCTTGGGTGACAGTATGGGGTACTGGGGATTGAACTCAGGTAGTCTGCATTCAAGGTAAACACCCTACCCACTGTACTATCGCTCAGACCCCCAGAGAGAATTTCTATGTTTTTTCCCCAAAGACTTACATACTAGCCAGCCATAGGCAACAGTGAGAGTGCTTGTAGGCATATAGACAACCACTGCTTTCTGTCCATCCAGAGTAAAGTTCCAGGAAAATAAAGACAAGTAGAGATTGCTGTTCATGTGGCCAGTTGTGTTTTTCTCCCATGTACAAAGCAGTAACATATTTTAGACCCAGCATGGGTGATGAGATGTGACAACTCTTGGGACTGGAGCGAAAGTATAGCAGGTAGGTGCTTACCTTGCACACAGGTGATCTAGGTTCAGTCCCCAGCTCCCATGTGGTCCCCCAAGCCCTGCTAGCACAGAGCCAGAAGTAAGCTGAACACGGCTGAGTGTGGCTCCAAATAAACATTCAACACCGTGGTTAAATTAATAACTTTTTAGGAGGAGAAAGGATGCAGAGAAGTCAGGCCATCTGGGAGCACATGATCTGTTCTGTGAGCTTGAGAGTTTTGCACAAGGGAAAGAGGCAAAAGGGTTTTAGTTTAAAAGGTAATGCTCAGCATTGCAGGACCTGAGCAATAGCACATGTTTGAGTCCTTGCATTGAACCGTGGGTCATCTTGGCTGAGAATGGGCCAGGATGGCCCCCTATGACCATATCCTCCAAGCATAGCTTGGAGAGCAAACCAAACCAGACAAAACTATAGTACCTTATCACCGCCAGGATATAGAGGCTGATCCAGAGAAATGCATGAACATTTACAGCCCTACATTAATGCCACATGTTGTCTTTTTATAACCACACAAATCTCTCATCCTTTTCATCTCTGAGACTTAGTAGTTCAGTTGATATCATCTGTGTTTTCTGTAGGATTTTTTTTTTTTAATTTGCTCCTTTTATTTATTTTTTGCTTTTAGGGCACACTCAGTGATGCTTAAGACTTACTCTTGGCTCTGCATTCAGGGATCATTCCTGATAGGGCTCAGGGGACCACATGGTGTCTTGGGGATTAAACCTAGATTGGCCATGTGCAAGGCAAATGCCGTATCTGGTGTACTGTCACTCTGGCCCCTATTCGTATTATTTAAAATATTACCTCAATTATTTTCATCAAGCTTTGATTGTAACCAATTTTACAAAACAAAAATAGCCATATATTATAGGCATTCAATCTTGCATGAGAATTTATAAATTCAGTAACTTTCCTTATATTACTGGTTATCAACCAGTTGAGTTTTACTCTCCTCTAGAGAATGACCCACCCAAAGTGTTAGTGTTGAAGTGGAGGAACCTCTCTAGAAAGTGTAAGACCATTTATCCACTCTTACCCTTGATTTCTAAGCTCTCCTCCCAAATAAATTTATCTGTAATTTCTGTTTCCTGCCCCCCTCCACAGTGATTTAAAATATAGTTTTTGAGGTAGCTTAATACAGAGCATGGGCATAATTTGGAGAATTTCAGTTCTGCAGTGGGCTGGAGTGATAGCGCAGTGGTAGGGCGTTTGCCTTGTAAGCCGCTGGCCTGGCGGAGGGAGGTTCGATTCCTCCGCCCCTCTTGAAGGGCCCAGCAAGCTACCGAGAGTATTTCGCCTGTACGGCAAAGCCTGGCAAGTTACCCGTGACGTATTCGATATGCCAAACACAGTAACAATAAGTCTCACAATGGAGACGTTGCTGGGCCCGCTCGAGCAAATTGGTGAACAACGGGAGGACGGTGCTACAGTGCAGTGCTACAGATATTTTATTTGGTAATTCTGGCTAGATGAGAATAAATGGAAATTTTGAACATGAAGGAAAGAAAAAATAAAAGGCACATTTTTTTAGAGGTTATATTTATTTATTTTATTAGTGAAACACCATGAGGTGCAGTTGTTGACTTACAAACTTTCGTGCTTGGGTTTCAGTTATACAATGATCAAGTACCCATCCCTCCACCAGTGCCCATTCTTCACCACCAATGATCCTAGAAGTCCTTCCCTCCCACCCCCCCACCCCACTCAGCCTCTGTGGCAGGGCATTCCCTTTTGCTCACTCTTTCCTTTAGGGTGTTGTAGTTTGCAGTAGAGGTATTGAGTGGCCATTGTGTTTGGTCTATAGTCTACTTTCAGCGTGTGTCTCACATCCCGAGCAAGTCCTCCAAACACCCTTTACTTGGTTTTCCCTTCTTTATCTGAGCTGCGTTTTCCACCGGCATGTGCTGCTGGCTTCCAAGCCGTGGAGCAGACCTCCTGGTACTTATCTCAACTATTCTTGGGTGTTCAGCTCCAATTCTGTTACTTTATATTCCCCAAATGAGTGCAGTCTTTCTATGTCTGTCCCTCTTTTTCTGGTTCATTTCACTTAGCATGATACTTTCCATGTAGAACCACTTGTATCTAAATTCCATGACTTAATCTTTTCTAACAGCTGCATAGTATTCCATTGTGTAGATGTAACAAAGTTTCTTTAACCAGTCATCTGGTCTCGGACACATGGGTTTTTTTTTCCAGATTTTGGCTGTTGTGAACAGTGCAGCAATGAACATAGAAGTGCAGGTGTCATTTCGACTGTACTTTTTTGCCTCTCCTGGCTATATTCCCAGGAGTGGTATTGCTGGGTCAAATGGGAGCTCAATTTCTAATTTTTTGAAAATTGTCCATACTGTTTTCCAAAAGGGCTGAACCAGTCGGTATTCCCACCAGCAGTGAAGGAGGGTTCCTTTCTTGCCATCCGCGCCAACACTGGTTGCTTTTGTTCTTTTGAATGTGGGCCAGTCTTTGTGGAGTGAGATGATACCTCATTGTTGTTTTGATCTGCATCTCCCTGATGATTAGTGATGTAGAGCATTTTCTCATGTGCCTTTTTCCCATTCGGATTTCTCCTTTGAGAAAGTTTCTGTTCATTTCCTCGCCCCATTTTTTCATGGTGATGGATGTTTTCTTCTTGTGGAGTTCAACCAGTACTTTGTATATCCTTGATATCAACCCCTTGTTGGATGGGTATTAGGTGAATATCCTTTCCCATTCTGTAGACTGTCTTTGTATTTTGGTCACTGTTTCTTTTGAGGTACAGAAGCTTTTTAGTTTAAGACAGTCTCATTTGTCTATCTGTTTCCACTTGATTGGTCAGTGGTGTGTCATCTTTGAAGATACTGTTAGCTTCAATGTCATGGAGGGTTTTGCCAACCTTGTCTTCAATGTACCTTGTGGATTCTGGTCTGATGTTGAGGTCTTTAATCCATAGAATACTGTATCACTGTATCACTGTCATCCCGTTGATCATCGATTTACTAGAGCAGGTGCCAGTAACGTCTTTTTTCATCCCAGCCCTGAGATTTTAGCAGCCTCTCCTTACTCATCTTTCTTAACGATTGGAGACTCTTTCAGGGTTAGGGGAATGAGACCTGTTATAGTTACTGGTTTTGGCATATCACTACAGGGAGCTTGCCAGGCTCTGCCCGTGCGGGTAGGTTACTCTTGGTAGCTTGCGGCTCCCCGAGCAGCATATATTTTTTTTTCTCTCTATGATTTGTTGCCTACTGTCTAAACTCTAGGGCTAGAGCGATAGCATAGCGGTTGGGCGTTTGCCTTGCGCGCAGCCAGCCCGGCCAAGCCGGGTTCGATTTCCCTGCTCCTCTCGGAGAGCCCGGCAAGCTACTGAGAGTATCTAGCCCGCATGGGAAAGCCTGGCAAGCTACCCGTGACGTATTCAATATGCCAAAGACAGTAACAACAAGTCTCAAAATGGAGACGTTACTGGACCCGCTCGAGCAAATCGATGAACAATGGGAGGACAGTGTTTTGTTTTTTCGTTTGTCTGAACTCCATCTAACATGGTGTGGTAATTATGGAAAATGGGTAGGAAGTGTCTTGTGATGTTCCAGAAAGCCACCTGGAGCGTGGTGGTGGTTGGGTAATGGAGGTCGGCTATCGGGGCTGGATTCCTTGGGATGATGAGGGCTCTCGCCAGCCCCTCTTTGGGGTACACTGAGTGAAAACAGCCTGGTGCGGAATCCCAATAGAATACTGTAGTCTGGAAATAAAGCTTCAAATAATCAGTTACTTTTTTTTGTTTGCTCTTGGGCTATACTTGGAGGTGTTCATGGCTTACTCCCAGCTCTGTGCCCAGGGATCACTCCTGGCAGGTTTGGGAGAACCCCCCCGATAGGATATGTACAAGTCAAGTGCTGTGCCCTCTGAACTATTGCTCCAGTCTCCTTTCATTTGAGGGAAAAGAAGTCTTTTCAATAAATTATGGTCAGAAAATTATATATCGATGTATAAAAGAATGAAGCTGAGGGGCCACTGAGTATAGTAAGGCACAACTTTTCATATGACTGGCCTCGGTTCAACCCCAACACCACATAGGGTCCCTCAGGCACAGCCAGAAATGATCCTGAACACAGAACCAGGAATTTAACCCTGAACATAACAGGATGAAGCCTTAATAGAAACAAACAAAACAAATATAAAAAAGAATGAAGCTGAACCCTTATCTTTGGTCATATGTAAAAATGAACTAAAAAATTAAACTCTGGCTGGGTTATGAATATATATCTAGCATGTGTCAGATCCCTGATTGAGATCTATTCCTGGAACCACAGGGACCCCTCAGCACTTAAATATAGTCCTGGTGAGTGCAGAGCACTGCCTGATCAAACATTTCCAGAGTTTGCCCCTATAATAAAAAACTCACACATCAGTTTAAAAGTAAAACAAAACTTTTTGGCACTGGGGCAGAAGAGGAGCCTGTTCGGCATTTGTTTTGGACATTGCCTATCTGGGTTCAATCCCAGGACCCCATGCAGTCCCCTTAGCCTGCCGGGAGTGAATCCTGAGCACTTAGTTGAATGTGCCCCCAAACAGCTGAAATAACCCAAAACATTGAAGGGTAGGTAGGGAGATCACAACTGCCTGTGTCCAGGGCTTGCTTCTGGCTCTTTGCTCAGGGATTTCTACTGATGGGGCTTGAGGGAACTAGGTTCTCCTTGTGTGAATTGCCTTACCTGCTGTACTTTCTCTCCAGCCCCAAACTTAAATATAAACCTAATTGCTAAAATTGTAATATCTTCAGAGACTGGAGAGATGGTTCAGCAGATAAGGCACTTGCTTGCATGTGACCAACCTGGGTTCAATTTCTGGCTCCCCAGGTATCATTGGGAGTGATTTCTGAGTGCAGAACCAGAAGTAACACTAAGCATCACCAGGTGTGGTCCTAAAACAAGCAAAAAACAGAAAAATAAAAAGTTACATATGTGGGCTTATTCTTCCTTTCTGAGGAATGCTTGTAGAGCTATAAACTTTCTTCTTAATACAGCTTTTGCTGTGTTTCATAAGTTCTTGTAACTTGTGTCTTCATTCTCGTTTGTTTCCAGGACTCTTGATTTCCTCTCTAAGCCACTGCTTGTTCAGTAGTCAGCTGTTTAGTTTCCAGGTGTTTGATTTGATTTTCTGTTTGTGTGTGTGATTCACTTCTATTTTCAGTGTACCGTGGTCTGATAGAATCTCTATCTTCTTGATTTTATGGAGGTATGTTTTGTTGCCCAGCAAGTGGTCTCTCTTGGAGAATGTGCCATGTGCACTTGACAAGGATATGTATTCAGCTTTTTTGATATGAAGTGTCCTATATATATCTGCTAAACCCCTTTTTTCCACTTCTTCCCACAGATAAAGTATGTCCTTGCCAGTTTGAGTCTGGTTGATCTCTGAAGAGGTGATAAAGCGGTGTTGAAATCTCCAACTAGTATTGTGTTGCTATCAATGTCTTTCTTTAAGTCTATGAGTAGTTGTTTTAAGTATTTTGCTGGTCCCTCATTAAGGTATATACATTAAGGAATATGAGTTCTTCCTGATGTACAGATTCCTTAATCATTAAGAAATGACTGTAACTTTCTCTTGTGATCTTCTTTAGTCTGAAATCAATGTGGTCTGATACCAGTATGGCCACCCCAGCTTTTTTGAGGGAGTTGTTTACCTGTAGAATAGTTTTCCAGCTCTTGACTTTGAGTTTGTGTTTCCTCTGACTGTTAAGATGTGTTTCTTGCAGGTAGGTTCAATTTTCTGATCAGTCCTGCCACTCTGTGTCTTTTAATTGGTGCATCTAGCCCATGACATTGAGAGAGATTATTGTTATGGTGTTTTTCCCATGTTTCTGCCAAATATTGGTGTATTTGAGGGGATTGTCATCTTAAAGTAGCCTGTTTAGTTTTTCTTGTAATTATGATTTTGATTCTATGAAGTTCCTGAGTTGTTGTTTATGAAGTTGTGTGTTGTTCTTTCCAATATGAATGAGAGTTTAGCTGGGTAAAGTATTCTTGGTGAGGCATTTATTTCATTTGGGTTTTTTCACTGTATCCCACCACTGTGCTCGGGCCCTGAAGGTTTCATCAGATAAGTCTGCTGTAAATCTTAAGGATGCTTCTTTATAAGCAATTTCTTTCTTTAATCTTGTTGTTTTCAGAATTTTATCTCTCTATGGTTTTTGTCATTCTGATCAGGATGTATCTTGGAGTATTTTTATTTGGATTTCTTTTAGCTGCTACCCTTCAGGCCTCCTGAGTTGGCTTGCATGTGCTCTTCAGCTCTGGAAACGTCTCAGCAATTATGTCTTTGACAGTTTCTTCTTGATCAGGGTTTTCTTCTTGTTACTCTGGATTCCAATAATTCTTATATTATTCCTCTTGACTTCATTCGATTTTTTCTTCACATCTGTTGGTTTGTTTTGAGGCTCTTTTCCATTTTCTGCTTTTATTGGAGATTCTCTGCACCTCATCTTGGAGCTCACTTATTCTCCACTGAGTTTTTCATTTTACCTACCAGATTTTTCAGATATGTCATTTCTTTCTTTTTTTTTTTTTCTTTTTTTGCTTTTTGGGTCACACCCAGCCGTTGCATAGGGGTTACTCCTGGCTCATGCACTCAGGAATTACTCTTAGCGGTGCTCAGGGTACCATACGGGATGGCTGGGAATCAAACCCAGGCTGACCACATGCAAGGCAAACACCCTATCCTCTGTGCTATATGTGTAATTTATCATATTTTTAGGAAACCAGAAACTTCGTAGAATCTAATCTTTGGTATAAGCTAGAAAAAGATTGAGATTCTTAGGGCCAAATTGCATTTAACATATGCTCCCAAGTTGTTCAGGAGATAACTCAATTAGTTGAGCCCATTCCTACAAGATGTGAGTGTCTATGTTCAATTGCCAGCCCTGTTTGCTCCCCTCCCCAGCATCTGAGCATTGCTGTGGCATCCCTATGAGAACTGTGCTCCAAAGTTTAGTTTCAGGTTGAAATGTCACTGTCACTGCCACTCTCCTCCCATTGTTCATCGATTTGCTCGAGCGGACCCAGTAATGTCTCCATTGTGACACTTGTTACTGTATTTGGCATATTGAATATGTCACGGGTAGCTTGCCAGGCTTTGCCGTGTGGGCGAGATACTCTCGGTAGCTTGCTAGAGGTAGCTTGCCCTCTCTCTGAGAGGGGCAGAGAAATCGAATTTGGGTCGGCCGGGTTGGCCGTGTGCAAGGCAAATGCCCTACCCACTGTGCTGTCACTCCAGCTCAGGTTGAAATGACTAAATATAATTTCCCAGAACATTGTGCTTTAAAATTTTCATCACTTTGAGTTGGAAATTTTCTTTTCTTCTCCTTAACTGCAGTGTGTAATGCATCTTGAAGACCGGTTACAGGAGCTGTACTTCAAAAGCAAAATGCTGTCTGAGTACCTAAGGGGGCAGATGCGTGTTCATGTCAAGGAGCTGGGAATGGTTCTTGGGTAGGTTAATTTCTGACTTTGCTTTCTGCTTGCAAGCTCTAGATAATGTATGTTCTGTAGAATTGCTTTTTTCTTTGTTTTAAGTGTCATTTTCTTTATTTTTGCTTTTTGGATCATACCCAGCAATGCACAGGGGTTACTCCTGGCTCATGCACTCAGGAATTACTCCTGGTGGTGCTCTGAGGACCATATGGGATGCTGGGAATCGAACCTGGGTCGGCCACATGCAAGGCAAACGCCCTACCTGCTGTGCTATTGCTACAGCACCTTAAATATCATTTTCTATTTGAAGCTGAACACAATTAGGGTTTGTTAATTTTGTTAACACTGCATTTTATAGACATTATTTCATAAAAGTATCTTTTTACTTACTGAAAAATTTCTAGCTTTAGTTGTTTTAAATTCTATAACACCTTTTCTGTGGGCCACAAATGCTGAGTTATGATGACTTTATTGGTTAGTCAGCTATCCAGGTACCCTTTAGAACTAATGTCCTGAAATGAATTGTTGTTGTTTTATTTCAGGATTGAATCGAGTGACCTTCCTCTTCTGGCTGCTGTAGCAAGCACACACTCTCCTTATGTTGCTCAGATACTTCTTTAATATGCCCAGGTGTTGTTAAAAATAAATTTGGTGGAATAGGTAAAACCAAGGAAGCAGACATTATTTTCCCTACTAGTCTTCCATTTGAATGAATCCATTGCCTGGGTATTCTGAATTGCAGTGTGTATTTTGTGATTATTGGATTGTTGTTTTCCTTTTGATTAGGTTTTTGAGAGATAAGATTTTCACCAAGTGAAAATGATAAGCATAATTTTGGGGGAAAGCATTTGACAATATCAAAAGGTAAATGATAAATTGATGCAAAATAAACATTGAGGAATTACAAATGATATCTACGATATGTTGGTACACTGATCAGTAGCAGCTAATGACTTATGGTTAAATTGTGCGAAAATAGTTAGGTTTTTATTCTTTACTTTAGGGTATAGAGTTCTGTAAAACTGATTTTTTATTTTTCTGTTAAAAATAGCTACTTTCTGGATATTTCTCAAAGTATTTAAAACATTCTGTTTATTATAACACAGAATAATGAGTGTAAATGTGTGTTAACTTACCCACCTAAATGTACAGATATATCTGTTTTTAAATGGCAGAGGTAGAATACAAAATTGGTTAACGGTACCTTTTCCAAAAAAGTTACTAGTTTCAATTGTATATAATGTTGAATGTTACTTTCTGGTGATATTTCTGTTTCACTCACCCTAAGATATAAGGAAAACCAATTTTTTTTAAGGCTAAGGGCTGTAGATTCCTCAAATGAAAATACTACTTTATACCATTTGTTTTATTTATAAATACAATTCTTATAAATACTAATATTTACATACTCACTAATTTAATAAAAATTAGGGTTAAAAATTGCACCAAAGTATTGGCAAAAATACTACTATTTTAAAAGTGCTCAGGTAAATGAGGCCCTGTTTTCGGTACAAGTTCTTCTACAACTATAGGAACTGAATATTTGTTACACTGCTTCATTATTCACTTTACACAGCTAGAACTCATTAACTCTTAAAATTATTTTTTTTCTCCAATAGATGCTTTCTTCCAAAATCTGATTGTTTTAAAACATTACCACTTTTCAATTTGTTTTTTGTATATACTGTAGAATTTTGTCTGTAAGAAAGGCTAATATGGAACCAAACTCTTGTAAGTAATGTAAATAGATAGGTAGATACAGTTTTCAATATGCTCTACTACCTCAGTTTACTTGAATACTACATTATAGTTTGTTATTTAGCTACTTTAGGATACTTTTAATGCTAGAAGTAAAGTTGGTTTCTGCTTTCATGGAATATTTTCATTATAATTGATTGATTACCTTTATAAGTAAAACCGCCAACTTGTTCTGTTACTAAATATATTTACTGCATAATACATCTATTCTTGCTACTTAAATTTAAATAATTTAGATTTCTGTGGTTTGTAGTGTTTGACCTTGAATTTATAGCATTGGGTAACATTTTGTCTTGCTTATTAAGTATCTAAGAAATCTCCAACTAGACAAGGAAGAAATGTTTGTTTTAATGGAATGTAAGGAACTGAAATTGATATGCCTGCATTCTTATTGGCCCTTTTGTCCTATCAGCTGATCCCAGTCAGTACCTAAGTCTCCCATGGATGACGTGCTGCCAAAGAGAGTTCTTTAATTCAATTTTCTTAATCCATTCACTGGTGAAAAATTTTTTTTTTCCATTTGAAATTTTACGGATCAGTCTCTTTGGCAGAATTTATAGTATAGGACAGTTTTTAGTAGGCCATTGCACATTATTTTTCATTGTAGCTCAGAATGATTCTAATGTCTTTTTCTGTTTTTTTTTTATTACCAAATTAGCCCTGTTTGAAATTATAACTCCTAATAAATGATCATTTAGGACATCATCTTCAGTAAATGACCGACTCCCACTACTAAACTTTGTTTGAAGGAAATAACCTATAGTTTCTTACAAAATCATTCATCCTTTTAGAACTCCTGAGTTTCAATAATACCAAACTTCCTGTTATTTCTTCAGCCTTTATTATTGTCATACTTTTCTTACACAAAGCCCAAGAAATGAGCTGCTACTTCTTTAAAGTGTGGTCATTATGATGAATGTGAAGAATTTTGGCCTCTTTGAAACAAATTTTTTCAACTTCTTAAGGTACAGATAAATATATGCTACATATTTTTTAAAACCTGTTTGTTGTAATAGGAAATTAAAAAGGGATCTTTTGCATTATAGATTTAAAACTGGTATTTCCTTGTATATAAACTAATTGGTTTTAAATATTTCTCACCTTATTAATACGTCTTAACTTTGAGTTTGAAAATGTTAAGTGCAATAAACATACTAGTACAGATTTCATTTTGTTTCAGTTGGCATACACTGGGGATGATCACTTTTTAAAAAAAGAATTTACACAATGCCTACTTTGGTAGATGTCTTACAAGAATGTTTTGCGTTCTCTAAGTTATTTAGATGGTGGGACATGTAAAATGTACATATTTTTTTCTGTGTTCTGTATACATTTCTCAAATGTGCACCTGTATTATAATAACCTCCCAGTTCTGGGGAAATTTGTGCAATAAACATGTACATTAATTTGATAGTGATGTTGGCCTTTCTTTCATATGTTTATATGGTATCATTAATGATATGAAATCTGCTATCAGGCTACCTTGTTTTTCCCCAAATGTTACTCATCGGGGCATGTAATCTCATTCATAATGTTTGTCTCTAACCCTAAATTTCTGTATTGATAATGTATTAAAATGTATGTTATGAGGTTGTTTTGAGAATCAAGTAAAATAATATTAAGAATTTATCTTAGTGGTATTTTCCACTGCACTGCACTGCACTGCACTGCACTGCCCTCCCATTGTTCATTGATTTGCTTGAGCGGGCCCAGTAACATTGTGAGACTTGATGTTACTGTGTTTGGCATATCGAATATGTCAGGGGTATCTTGCCAGGCTTTGCCGTGTGGGTGAGATACTCTCGGTAGCTTGCCGGGCTTTCCAAGAGGGGTGGAGAAATCGAACTCGGGTTGGCCAATTGACCATGTGCAAGGCATATGCCCTACCCACTGTGGTATAGCTCCAGCCCAGGTATTTCCCAAAGTTCTGTAATTTGGGGCTGCTACTGTTGGTAGGTAATCTTGTCTTCCCTTTATACCCTCAGGTGGGAAGAATTTAACATATACCCTTGTAAATGAAAGAATGGTTATTAAAAACATACCTGCACGTGCGCGCGCACACACGTGACAACTGAAAAAAAATAAGTGATTTTATGAAAATAAACTGAAAAATAACCAATTAAAACTTAAAAGAAGGTCATGAAAAGTTTTGCAAAGGATATTGGTGGGAAAGGAATGATTTCTAAGCATGGAAGGGCAGTGGGCCACGTGGAGTGGGGTATGAAGGCTTAATAGAAAATACTGCATGAAAAGTGTTAAATTTCTACCCATGACTGATTTTTACTATTAAAATGAATGGGAAACTTCAGTGATGATTCCATTTGGACATAAACTAATTCAGTATAGTTTCATCTATTGAGTCTTAACATTCTTTTAAACATCTGTGAGGTATGCTGTTCAGGAATTTGTAGTGTGGCTTTTAGGAATTAGGCAGGTCCCAATCATAGTTCTTACATTCTTTGTAATTTCCCCATAGAAATTATATGCCCCTTATCATTAAAGATTAAAAGGGGCTAAAGGTCTCTTGTGGTGCTACTTTCTCAATAGGATACTAGATCCTACTCTCCTCTGGAGTTAGAAATCTCTTACTGTTTTGAAGACCAATAACCAACCAGGGATGTGGCTCAGTCGCTGAGCACAAGCCTTCCACATCCCCCAGTACTGCAAAATAAGTAACAACCATAGGTACCCAGGTTTTCATTCTGTGGAATGGACTGGAATCTTGTGTAAAAATCACTTTAACATGGAACTGTCATAGCTTGGGGGGGGGGGGGGGCGGGAACCTGATTTTATCAGGGTTTCTGAAGAGGCAGGGGTAAGATAAGAGTAATACATTAGACTAGTGGCCCAAGAACTAGAAAGAATAAGGTTCTTAGGGACCACATAGATTTGTCTGACCTTCATATAGAGGACGTTGTGGGAACTTCCTTGGCCAAAAGAACAAAGGCATTTAGTCTCTGTTGACAATTTTTATACTAAGAGATATCAGTTCTCAACTTCTCATCATTCTAGGTGATGTTCTCGTGCCAAATGGGTGTACAAAACCACATTCGTGTTTCTGAAGCTATTAATGGGAATTGATATTAAAAATCATCCAATTATTTGAAATTGAATTTCTGCTTTCAAAAATCCCTTCTCAGAGGTAAAGTAATAGAATTAATAGTAATTGGGATGTATACAGTACTGCATATGAGTTATCTGTAATTTTTAGAGAATTGCATAGAAATTACTAAGCTCACCAAATAATTTTAAGTACAAATAACTTATTAAAAACACAAGTTCGGGCTGGAGTACAGCGGGTAGGGCATTTGCCTTGTGGTCCCCTGAGCACCGCCAGGAGTAATTCCTGAGTACAGAGCCAGGAGTAACACCACTGAGCATTGCCAGGTGTGACCCAGAAAGCAAAAACAAAACAAATCCCCACAAAACCCTCACAAGTTCAGGTGACTGACTGCTGCTGAAGTCCAAGCTCATAGTCTTCATACTTTAAAATTTTTCCCTTTCTGGTAGTAGAGATAAGGGCCAGGAGAATTTCTCCATGGGTTGGAAGCCGGCCTCACATGCTAGGGGAAAAGGCAGATGAGATAGAGAAGGGACCACCAAGTAAATGATGCTTGAGGGCTTGCTCAGGATAGGAAATGTGTGCTGAAAGTAGACTGTAGACCAAACATGATGATCACTAGTACCTGTACTGCAAACCATAACACCCAAAAGGAGAGAGAGAGAGTAAAAGAGAATGTCCCTGCCATAGAGGTGGGGGGAAGGCGGGGATGAGGGGGGGTAGCGAGAGGGATACTGGGAATAGTGGTGGTAGAAAATGGGCACTTGTGGAGTGATGGGTGATGGGTACTCGATCACTGTATGACTGAAATGTAAATCACGAAAGTTTGTAACTAACTCATGGTGATTTATTAAAAATTAAAAAATTTAAAAATTAACAAAAACCTTTCCCTTTCAAAATGATTGTATTGGCACTGAAAGTTGATCCTTGAAGAAATGGGAAGAATAACTTTTCGTGATATTAGGTAGATCATTCAGCAGATATGTTTACACACAAGAAAAGTTTACCAAAATGAGTATCTCAGTTCTTTTGTGATCTTGCCACATTGTCTTTTGTTTGTTTGGGGGCCACACTTAGCAGTGGGCTATCAAACTATCACACACTAAATGTAGTATTATGTAAACTTAATTTGTATGTAAACTTAATTTGGTCCAGTTTAAGGATCAGTGGAAGCAAAACCCTTACTTGCTCTCATTACCGGATTTCAGAAATGGCAAATTTCGCAACCTGAGCTCTCGTTTACTCGTGTCTTGAAATAGTAACGTCGTACTAACTAGTGAACTATGCTAACTGATGAACCTAAATGTAATACAGCCCTCAGAAACTTTTTAATTCTGGAGAAATGCTAGCTCTGTAGTGGCTTCAAAGTAACATTGTATGAGCTCTGAACTGAATTTAGGTGTCACAAGATACTCCAGAAAGCGATGGATTCTAGAAATCTGTGCTTCGTTTCCAAATTAGCCTTTGCAGCTAGCTGGCCGCTCGGATAGGGGACAGTAAATAAATGGAATCTGACTGTATTTGGTCTGTTGGGTAGTACACTAATAAAATATAGTGGAAAACAGGCTTCTCGAGTAGGGGGCACCTCCCGTGAGTAGAGCGTCAAGCAGAAGGCTCTGCGAAAGTCTAGGACTATGGACGAGGCCCTGCTTCAAGGAGCACCAGTAGACCTGGGCAGCACCTGTGCTGCGGGCTAGGCAGCTCACTGCCTCAGCCTCGGAACGCCCGTCTCAGAAAATATTGGGGCCCTTTTCATTACAGAAGGGTTTCACGAAAAGAAATGCGGAGTAAAGCGTGTGCAGACTTCCGAGTTTGCCAAATGGCGGCTCTATTTCCGCACGTTCTCGAGGGAGGGGCGTCGGAGTTGCAGAAAGGGAGCGCTGTCCCAGACGTGGTCACGCCCTGGGCTTCCGGATCTTGGCACAAACATAAGCCTCCACCCAAAGGGCCTAGCCTCTGCTCAGCCTCACTAGCTAGCTCCCTCCCTCCCGCCGCGCTTCCGGCCGCTCCACCGGAAGCTGCCGAAACCGCAACTCCGAGACCGATGGGGAGATAAGCTTAGGTGAGGTCTCGCGACTAGTCTCTAAGTCTCACGAAAAGTTGGAAGCCGCTTCACTTCGCCGCCCCAGTCCTTACGTCATCGCGAAGTCACGCCCTTGGGCGTTCGCTTGCGTGCTCAGGCTTGCCGCGCATGCGTGCTTCCCGTCCCTCCGCCCCCGCGCGGGCTTCTCTCTGGCCAGTCGCGCGTGGGCTGAGGCCCTGGGCGGGTGTTGTGAAGGCTTGTTTGCCTGGAGCGCGAACCCCCAGGGCCGACGGGAGGTCCCGTCCTCCCCGGAAAGGGGGTCCTGACCCCCGCCGTAGAGCGAATGAGTTGTCGCGTGCGCTGCTAACGGCAGGCTGGGGAGCACGGGGGCCGGAGCCGCGGCCATGAACTCACCCGTGGACCCCGGAGCTAGACAGGCGCTAAAGAAGAAGCCTCCCGAGCGGACCCCGGAGGTAAGGACGGCCGGCCCGGCGCGCTTCCGGCTGTCCGGAGGACCGCGCCTTGGGGTCCGAAACCTGCGGCAACTGTCCCCTCGCCGGCCCCTCGCACCTGTTGACGGGGTGCCCGCCCTGCGCCCCTCGCGCCGGCCCGGGGCGTCCTCGCGGGCTCGGTGAGGACCGCCTTTCCTGCTCGCGGGCCGCCGCCCCACGCACCCGTCCTGGCCCGCCACTTCCGAGTGTTTTTGACAATTTCGCACCGTTCGTAAATCGTACCTTACGTTGAAGTGTGGGTCTCGGAGCGAGACTGCCCGAGTGGGAAATAGACTACGAAAAGGGAGGTAGACTTTGTAAATAGTTGTCACGTCGAAAGGTTCCTGAAGTCTCCCTGCTTGAAAGTTTCCAAAGTCGGCGTCAAACTTTTCGTTCCTTCAGACGGTGTTGCGGAGGATGCTTATTTAAAAGTTCAGTTCGAGAGGGACTTTTTCAGACTGTCAGTGGGAAATTTTACGGTACTTTATGTTGGAACTCAAGACTTTGTGTCTTGAGTTAGAAAAAATGGCATCAGCGTTAATGATTTTCACTTGAGCTGAAAACTAATTTTCAGGCACATGACTTAAACCTGTTAGTTTTGCAGTCCTTTTAGTGTGCTTAGGTTTGGAGGTTTAGTGTGCTTAGGTTTATGTTTCCCACCAAAAGCTAAAAGAATGTGAGTGTATTGTTAAATTGCTTTATGTATAGGTGGATGTATAAATGAAATGCTTTGGTTAATTCTGAGTTATTTTTAATTTTTTGGATTAGTGTATTTTTCATGTATTTACATCTTCCTGGCTTTGGGCTGACTTTTTAATGACATGATTTTTATTTCA